GAAGGAATACGATCATCGTGTTGAGCAGAAATTAAAGTTGGAGAACGAGATCCTTACGAACCTACAGGAATGTCTCCTTAATGACAAAGCAGTAGAATCCATGGCTAATGGCATTAAGAAAATGAGAGAAATTTCTAGAAAACAGGTAACAGTAAAACAAATATGAAGGAGCACATTACAATAATGCTTCTTCATTAAGATGATTTAATATTAGGTTAAGTAAACTAAATATTTTTTTTTACTTTAAGTAAATAAAGAAAATAATTATTCAAAAAAATCTTTTGAAAGAAAATAATTATTCAAAGAAATCCATTCTCATAATATACAAAAACAATTCTAGGAGATAGCATTAATGGCGATGGAAAACCAACATGCGAAGATGATGCTCGACATCGAATTACACAGAAATAGACAGGCAAAGAACAAAATAGTGCTAGATGACACACAAGCTAAAGTGAGAGAAAGAGAAAAGGAGATAGAGGGACTGCAAGAGAAATACGATCAAAAAGCACTGATCATCTTAAGGAAGCAAAGAGAACTGGATATTATCATTAAGAAATATAATGCTTTGAAAGAAGTTTTTGATGTAAGTGTAACATTGACCAAAAAACAACTTTGCTCGGGTTCCATTAAATATTTGTTGCAATTATTTATGTTTGTACAACTAATTTAGTAATTAAATTTGGATACATACTTATAATAGATTTTTTTAATATAATTTTTTTGCATTCAGTTAAAATCACCTCAAGAGCGCCGTATTGAAGAGTTGGAGCAACAGATAAAATCTTTGCGCGAGCGCACGGAAAATATGCAGCATGAGTGGTTGCGTCTCCAAGGACACGTAGTGAAGCTTACTGCGCAGCATCACAAGATTATAGCCGATGTTAATCTCATTAATAAGCGTTAGTAGTTCAATACAAATAGAATCGACGGAAATTATTTTACACTATTGTAAACAATTCATTTGACTACAATACGCGTATACTTCACGCGAACTTCTTTTGCCAAATAGAGGAATATTTAACATTAATCAATAATTAAAATATGCCAATTGCAGATGTAAATCAGTTATTGCTTGCTTGTTTTCTCAATATTTCGACGATAATTATATCTCTCTATATACTTACCTATTAACGAATATCCGGGTATATCGATAATTGTTAATGACAATGAATCTAGTTTCTTATGTTTTAAATTTGTAAGCTAAGATATGTAGAATACAGCAGCATTTATACTACAGGTTTCTAATATGGCTGCTATTTCGATATCACGGTATAGATCAAAACATAAAACACTTTCTAATAAATGCCATATCTCGTATTGTAAAGGTATTCTACCTGAAAGCCTAATAAAATAAAATATAAGGTAGGTAGAGTTTAGTCTAAATTAAAAAATCATAATAATAAAAATAATGACTTGGCATCAATACAACATCACATATGACACAATACCCAAACCTTTACCTCAATGGGTTATTTTTTACATGTGTACAGAAATCCAAATTTGCGATCAAAAGACAATGCGCATTCAAGCGGAGTGTCTCCACGTTGACGAGGAAAAGGCGCGAGTTGAACGATCATTACGCGAATTACGCGGCCGATTGGAATTGTTGGAACGAACACGTAAAGACTCCACTGAACGTAACCAGAACGCGATCAAGGCTAACGTCGCTGTTACACATGAGTACGTTGCTAATCTTAAGGTAAAGTTCTAACTTCTGCGCGTACTGTGTACGTACATTTATTTGTATTTTATACGCGTTATTGGGCAAGACAACGTCTGACGAACACGCTCGTAAAAGTTTTCTTGTAAAACATTTAATGGCTTTTAAAACTTTCTAGGATGCCGAAACAGAGATAATACAGTTAGAAGAAGATATAGAAGCGATGGAAAAAGATAAAATTAATCTCACACAGGATCTCGACCGAGTTCAACGTGAAGCACTTATTTGGCAAAGAAAGGTTATAACATAAAATGTGCATATTTTTTAACAGAACACTACGGTATTGTACTAGTGTTGCACTGTAATATATAAGAAACATTCATCTTAATTTCCGATGATGTTAAGATAAAATTTGCTCAATGACACGATAGAACTTCAGAGAACTATTATGATTAATATAATCAGTTACCTATATTAAGTAATTATAATAGTTTAGTTTGGGATTACAATAGAGTCAAGCATTTCCAACAAAAAACGGAACGAATATTGATTTTAACACATTTTTAGGGTATTCTTGCAGTTGATCTCAAGAGAAACATTCAAAATGCAAAATCGGCTGCTGGCGAAATTGGGCAAATGAGGGCTGAGATTCACAGAATGGAAGTAGGTTTTAAACTAATAAACAAATGATGGCTGATTTGTATTTTCCAGTCACAAGTTCACCAGGCATTCAATTCAATCTGTTAACTGTTTTAATCTAAAATAAATAACAAAATATAGTAAAAGCAAATACTAGAAAAGTGACATTTGAGGGGATGACCAGAACCATAGATCCATCAATAGTGACGTCTCGAAGCGTCCACCCAAAATTGAGAGGAGGATGATTTAATGTCCGTTTGTCCAATCCTAATCAAACGCGCGGTTTCTGCTTTTATCTATCGTCTTACATTATCATTCCTATGATCTATATTCGTCAAGGTTCGTCGTGAACAACTTCGTAAAACCGGTGAGAAATTAGCGGAAGACTTGGCCCTTTACGTGACTCGAAGAGAGACAGTTATTGAGAAGAGTCGAGCTGCTGCCGCAGTCGAGAAGGCACATGGAACTTCCTCGCAGACCTCACAATCTACCTATCACCATAAGTTGAGGCTCGTTAAGGCTGATGTTGCTAGAGTAACTAAGGTATTCTTCTATTGAATTCTTAGCTGGCTATATACTTGATCACTTGCAAGACAAGATTATTCAGCTACTTCGAAAGTCTTGTTGTTGCACAAATCTTCAACAAATTGTTGAAACAACATTTAATTTACGTACTATTTTTTTTAATTATAAAAAAGCAAAATCGACTAATCCAAAGTATTCCAATAGATTACTGTAGACGTCAACCAATTACTTTGCACGCCATCTGTAAAACTGAGGTTTCTTTTCTATTCAATAGGATTTAGCAGAAACTAAGCAACGTTACGAGACCCTTGAGACTGAGCAAGTACGCCTTGAAAGGGAGGTGGCTGATACAAGCGCACTGAACGCGCAGATAGAAGAGCGGGTAGCTACCCTTATGCGACATACGCAGGAGGCCGAGAAACAGAAGCAATGGGTAACTTAAATAATATTTATTTATTGTATTCTCATAAAAAATTGGCTATCGCTATGTCCAAACTTACCGCCCCCTTGAACTCGATTTCCATAAAAAAAAATATTTACGCTACTTTGAAACACTGTCCTATGACTTTCCATCATAGAGTAAACTTTTGACACAAAGTCTGAAATTCGCGAGTGCGTTTCCGATACGAGAGTCACACTTTTTTTTTTCGCCCTCGACGCAGGCGCATGGTCTTTCGACCATATCGCCTAGTCTTTCGTAGAAGAGTCACACCTAAGTCTCTGAGACAATTGTGCACTTATGTCAAAGTTTAAATTCCACATTAACATTACGAATCCAAAATAAGTAATGTCTAAGTCTTGTACCTTCACCTTTCGATAAATCGGCGATCGGCGTCTTGGGGTCTTAGTGGCGTTTAATTGTCATCAATTGTGGACAGTGATATTTACATCATAATAATTTATCCTGATATTTAAGATACAAATAACTAAAAACAATACTGGTAACACTACGCTCGTAGTAAAAATCAGACAAACAAAAAGAAAATCTTACTGTTACTCCTATTTCACGCCAGTAATACCGTTAATAATTTGGTTTCAACCTTATAGCTTCTTGAACGAGTAGTACGCAGCCAGCGCCTCGGTTCAGAATTAGGCACCGCCATCAAACGTCAAACGGTGCACGTACGCAAACCTAAAACCATCGTAGTTACCGAGTACAAACAGGCTAAAACCCTTAACGACAAAATGAAATATATAGTTGAGAAACTTCTGAACGAGTACCCTTATTTGAGCGACAGGCTTGAAGTGATCGCTAATACGTTGGACATACATACACCGACTGATACGCCAACGTTGGTAGAAGAATGTGTATGTATTCGCGAAGAAGTGGAAGGGCCCCAGGAAGTACCAGAGAGGCTAGAAGATTAGTTTTGTCAAAGAGCGTCTAATCTTTTATCAAGCAGGAGCTCTACTATGTTTGACAGAATTAAACGTTAATTTATACTAATATTATAAAGAGATAAAGTTTGTGAGGTTGTAGGGGGTAATCTCTGCATCTAAAAATATATTTTACTATTAGAAAGTACGTACGTATATATTAACCCAAATTAAAGACTTATTCGTGGTATTCGAATATGCAAAGTCGGATTGCGGTGAATTTATGACGAGGGTTTAGGTATATTTTTCAAGGTTATATATCACAGTTTCCTTTGTGACACCGGGGCTTGTCACTAGTGTAAAATAAGCCATTAATGTATGGCAAATACTAATAATATTTTTAAAAATATTTGATCCACACGTTTTGTTCATAGGTTTACTCTCTTATTCATAAAAACTAATTATATTTTAACTAAAGTACTGAAAGGTCTCTTTCTGTCGAATAATGTTTACCATGTGATGAAAAGAGAGTCGTGTACTTAAGTTAAAACGGTGCAATTACCCTATGAATAAGGAGGTAAAACTTTGTCGAACTCATGGTAGGACTACTGGTGTCAACTAAATTTTTCGTATAGAGACGCGTTGAAATATTATACATAATGAAATATACAAATATAGCATTAAAATCATTTATTTGTGTTTGATTTAACAAATTATCACATAATCATATTCCCACATAACACTTATCTAGAATAGTTGAGTTATAAACTCAATACTTAAATCTTTTTACTGTTTCAGAGTTAACTAAGCATTTTTTGTAAGTAACAATATTTTAAACCCAACTGATAGATTCCCGTTATTCCATGCTATTCGTGTGTGGTTTCTCGTGGGCAGTTTTCTGATGTCGGTTTCGATGATCGGACCGAAGGAAACACACCCCACAGTAGCTGCAAGGGTATTTCTTTTCTTTAGTATGCACTACCATGTGTCTGTCCAAATACCTGTAAATACAATACATATTAGGTATTAATTAGTTACTTGTTTCAAGACTGACTTTAATATATAAACCAGTTATAAGCTTTACCCTAAGGTATAAAAGTACTCGAAAGTACATTGTAACATAAAAGTACTCGAAAGTACATTGTAACATAAAAGTACCGAAATAATCAAAACCAAAGTACATGCAGTTTAATTTTTAAAAGCCAACGCACTCGTGATTTCTGGTAGTGTGCGGTAACTTCCGGTGGAAAACATGAGTAGGGAACCGTTGTTTAAAAAATAATTCTTATATATACGAACTTGAATATTAAAAAATTTATACCTTTGTAAAGCGAAGGACATTTCACAGAGCTTACAAGCAAATTCCTTACTCGCGTTGTGCAACATACGATGATTTTTCAATGAAGTACTTGTTGCGTAGCGTTTCCCGCATTCGGTACACTCATAAGGTTTCTCCTTTGTATGGCTCCTAAAGATAAATGTTTGTAGATAACTCATTGTTATGGTATTAAGCGCCATTTACACGAGGCAATTTTCTTGCCTGTAGCATATAATTATATCGACGCATTAAATGAGCTGCATGGTCTAAACAAAACGTAACATTCTTGATCAATAGGAAAAGTTTCCTTTCGAAACTATTCTTGATGTAAACAGCACGTACAATAATTTCTTACATTCAAGACTGGTATGAAAAATTCGCCAACGCAAATACGTGCAATACTTGAACGAAAGCGCCAGTAAATGGTATACGAACGTACAAGCCTGTGTTTAGACAAGTCAAAACTTGTAAGCAATAATCTCCTAAAAATAGTTGTATTGATGTAAACAAAAGGCATGTGCAAGTATTTCCTAGTCAAAACTTGTATACAATAATTGCATTCAAGTTTTCAAGTGTAAACAGTTGCATACAATTCTTGAACGTCAATTATTGCCCTTCATTTATTGCATTTAATTATTGCTCTGGTATGTACAAGAAAATGGCATCGTGTAAATGAGCCTTTAGCCTATTAAAATGGTGCCATGCTCATGTCAGCTATTACGTAACGTGGTACCAACTTCGCGCCGATAGATGGCGCTATACCATTTCAATGTGGAAGTCTTGGTAACGACGAATGACGATAGACGGACCCATGACCCACCACCCAGTATATATTATTTCACTATAGAGAACCACTCGAAACGTCCATTATGGAAATAATTATAATATAAGCTTTTATTTATTTCAAAGCTTAAACCAAATAAATTAAAAAGGTTTAAAATTTAAGAATGTGAAATACGATGAACAAACGTGACCAAATAATAATGCAATGCATGCATGCAAAACAATTGAAATTGAATGAGTATTAATTAATACAAAAATAAAATATACAGTATTTTTTTAAGAGGATTGTAAAGTAACGAGGGCTGTTAGACAAACATTTTAATAGATTTAACGAGATTTGCATGTCTGTTTATATTCGTTAACGAAGGTTTATTTAAATACGTAACACTGGCGAAGACTAAACAATATTATGTGCCTAATAATATATGTACTTACTTTCAATTTCATTCTTATTTGGCTTTATATTAAAAAGTACAAACATTTTTGGGGTTGGTAATAAATTTTAAAGTTAATATTTCATAAGGATTCGAAACTACAAGTATACTTTTACATTCACAACGCAAAAGATTTTTATTTTCTAATTGATAAAAATAATCGCGTTTTCGATAGTTATTTTATAAATGGTAGTATCAATGCAATGGCTGCAGATGTTCCAAATAAATTGAAACAAAAAGACAAAATATATTTTAATATATAATGTTAAAATAAAAATGGATATATTTACCTTATATGGATTAATAAGTGGTCTTTTTTAAAGTAACTCTTAGAGCAGATTTGACATAGATGGGATCTCTCTTTATCGTGCACTTGACGTCTGTAATTATAAAAGCATAAGCTGATTAGCTACTGAATTACAAAAACTATTTGTTATTGTTAAACAAGCAAAATGGTCTTCTAGGCTCTAGTATGCAACTATTATAACATTTATTTCAAGTGCTGTCAGAAATTCCAAATAGGACAAAAATACTTATGACAGATCATGAGATAACCAAATAAGAGATAATTAATTGGAGTTTATTAATGTAGAATTTAGGCATGTATTGTATGGTGGACTCAGTTTCCCACAGAGACGCTCATAAGGTCCGTTGTGCATATAGAATTTAGGACTACTTCGCTATCATATATACGTGGAGATGCTGCTTCTATACGTTGCTTCAGATTTAATTATTTTCAAGACTTGTCTGTTAAACTATGCTTAGCTATTAAATGACTTTAAACTTACTTGTGGAACATCATAACTTGCTTAGTTCTAAAGGTCTTGCCACACACATCACAAGGATACGGCCTTTCTTTTGTATGGGCAGCAGCCACATGCTCTTGTACTCTAGATGGGGATATGAACTTTTGGTTGCAAATTTTACACTCATATTTCATCTTGTTAATATCATGAACTAACATATTATGTACTTTGAGACTATTTATATCTGAAACATAAATAAAAAATTAAGTATATTATCATTGTTTTTTTTTCACTTTTCTACTCTATTTAGTTAGTGGGTGTATGTATATTATGATTGTTTTTATGTGATGTAATTAATGTATGATAATAATTTAAATAGTATAAAATTTCAGATTCTCAATGATATATATGAATTGAAATTCATGTAAGTTCACAATAATAATAATAAAAAAACAATGGCGCTACAACCTCTTTAGGTCTTGGCCTCAGATTTCTGAATCTGTTTCATGATCATTTTTAAATCTAATAGGCAAGTAGGTGATCAGCCTCCAGTGCCTGATACACGCCGTCGACTTTTTGGGTCTAAGACATGTCGGTTTCCTCACAATGTTTTCCTTCACCATTCGAGCAAATGTTAAATGCACATACATTGAAAGAAAGTCCATTGGTGCACAGCCGGGGATCGAACCTACGACCTCAGGTATGAGAGTCGCACGCTGAAGCCACTAGGCAAACACTGCTCTGTTCACAATAATAAGTCTGTTTACAAATTATGTGAAAACTACAAGTACTACCTACATACATACCTTTGTTACAAATGTCACAGTGTTCTTTATATCCAAGATGTTTATATTTAACATGTCTATAACGAGCACTGGGTCTTGGGAATGATGAATCACAATATTTGCATTTGAATCTCTTTGGTGCACCATTAGGCAAGTGTAAAAGCATGTGTTCCTTAATATTACGAACTTTTTTACCACATTCCACACATTGAAAACTATGCTCTTTTTGATTGTTTAATGTCTTCTTTTTCTTACATGCACGTTTTTTTACTGTATTCGTTGAAACTGTAAATAAATGTAATTTTGAAATACCTAGTTTAATCCTAGAATGCGTAATATATTGCGTTTGTATTGGAGTATATTATAATATATGTACTTTACATGCCACACAAGGAGACGTGGCTGTGAATCAGAAATCCATAGCGAAAGCTGAAAATATAAAACAAATGCCCATTATGGATACTAGATGCAATTATGTGTACTTTCTCTGTCCCACCTTGGGGATATAAGTTGGTCATTTCAATGATACATGACTTTATAACCATTTAATTTATGTATTATTCTTTAAGTTGCTTATAATTCAGCTTACTCTTATTGCTTTTGAATTATTAGGTATAAGGACTTATACAGATTTTAAATAGCAAGATAGTTTTTATAAATATTTATATTAAAATAACAAAATTTTACCATTCTCTTTTGCATCTTCAGTAACATATTCATATTTAACATTCTTTAGGACACTTAGAAATTCTTCATCTGATTGGAATCCATCAGATTTAACTTCTTCTTTTACATCATTAATTTTAAAATCATCTTCAATATAAGCTTCTACTTCACATTTATTTTTAGTTTGAAAAGTGTTATTACTATGATCATCTACATACACTTCATTGTTTACCAATGATTTTAAATATTCTTCACTTAATAAAGCTTGCTTTTTAAACTTGAAAATTTCGATAATTTTTATAAAACATTTGCCACACAACTTTGTACTAATGTTGGAGCCGCTATTGACCTACAACGGTTGATTGAAATGAGTTAGTTAGTATCCAAGATTTGATAAACAATTTAGTCATATATAACTAAATTTCCAGTACTTTACCGTAATATCTAAACAAAATAACATTATTTCAAAATATGTTTTGTCCTCATGTATACTATTTGGTAATTCAGTCATATCATTATCAACATTATTACTCAGGCATGTTCTGCAAGGTATTACGTTCATGACTCGTAAAATTTTAGAAACAAGAAAGTAAATAACTAAATTATAACAGAACTTTGATGGTTTTTGATATTCCCAAGATAAATATTATACGTATTGAAATTTGAAACACAGACTAGCAGACTAGGGAAGAGTGAAGCGCATAGAATATATTTTTTATCTGACTGAACTCTGAAGATTAAATTGATAGAGTCTGTGAGGACAGATAACATTTTGCTACGCAGTACGCATCATTTAAGTCTTAGGAAATTCATAGGTTTTGTACTCTGTGTGAATGATGTATGATAATCTGTGATTAAGGCAAATATAAAAAATATTCTTGTTGATTATTTATTATTTTGAAATTTAAAATTTATGTGCGTATTCATTTCATAAATTAATTTAATAAAGTACACACTAAAATTAAATGTAATATAAACATGTAGGTAAAATGCAGAGAAATTTCTCGTCTCGGTTTACATTTTGATACCAATTGTGGAAATCTAATTATATTTTCTATTAACAACATTCTAAAATGTCCGGTAAATCTTATTTTCCACGATGAATACGTTATTTGACTTACCAAATGTTATCTTTAATTATTATTTCGTGATCGGCGGTTTGTTTATAGCATATTTAATATATAGAACGTTTCATTCCCTTATTGGGACCGGGAATTTTATACAGATTAAGTACAAATCTCGAGGTCATACATGGAGAAACATTCAGTGTCATAATTCTAATCCGTATAATATTTATGTGAGTAGTAGTTTTATTTACTTATGACCAATATCTACCTTTGTGTACTATATAATGGAAAATAAAACATATGTGTTATTGTTCAGTTATGAATATAATTGTTGTCTTATATTTTACAGTGTTCAGTGTGTTCAAAGCTTATGTTGCCAGTTGATGGTCTTTACTGTGAGTGTTGTGCTGTAAGCGCCTGCAAGCTTTGTTGCAGAAGTGTTGATAAACAAGTAAAATGTAAAGATATAACTTGGCGTGATGAAAAACCATTTCCTCACCTTTGGGTTAATGGTATGTTATTTATGTGTATATATATATTTAAGTAGTTAGTAAAATATTAGTTAACATTTGATATTGTTCATTCTAGTTGGAATGCTACGTGGTGAGTCTGGTCAGAGTGATTCAGAGAGTTTTAAGAATTACTTCTGCAGTTGGTGTCAAAGAATTATTAAAAGTCATGAAATGGCTTTGTTTAAATCTAAGGTATATGGAAAATAAAACAAAAAATCTTATGTACTGTATCTACTTATTATTATTTATTAACAGAACTGTAATTACAGCCATGTGATTTCCAAAAATATAAAAATATCATAATTCCACCTCATTATGTAAAGATTGAAAAAAATAAAGTGATAAACATAAATAATATTAATGATGTTGCCTGGAATCCTTTAATTATATTTGGTGAGTGTAGCTTAATATACAATAAAACTTTGCCATACACTTTTCTCAATGCTAAAATTGGCTTGAAATTTTTAGCAAACAGAAAATCTGGAAGCAATAGAAGCGATGAAGTTCTTTCATTATTTCGAGGACTCCTAAATCCCTTACAGGTAATTTTGCAACTTACGTTTTATTCTGAAATTAAGAAATTCTGTAGATTATGGTGTAATATATTTAATTTTTGAAGACATAACTGTATAAAGACAGCATGGTAACACTCTTGATGAAAATTTAAATATCCATTCTTTCATTGTATTTGTATAATGAATTCCAAAACAGTTTTATATTTACATACTTTATACAAAAATTGGTCAATGGGTATAACATCATTGCTCCTATTTATTATTTATATAATTGTTATAACCTTTGTGCTATCACCTTGTGAGTTTGGCTCTATTTATTTTATAACATTTACTTTTTTTATATAAGTATAATTTGAATACAATTTTTAAGTAGGTTAAGTAGGTGATGAACACCCTTATGTCATTTAGTCAAAGCTTAAACTGCAATCATTTTGTAGTAGTAAAATTCTTTTATACTTTATAGGTGATAGATATCAGCAGAACTGCACCAGATATAGTGGTTCGTTGGCTACCACCAAAATGCCGGGTTTTAGTTGCGGGAGGTGATGGCACTGTTGGCTGGGTGCTCAATGCCTTGCACAAGGTGCCACATATCAAGGTAACTGATAATGGGCTTTGCCCGCGTTTTCCTCCATGTAGTGATCAAGTTCGTTTCGTTCGTTATTTTATTATGAAAATTAAGAGGTTTAGCAATTTTAATTCCTCGAGACACATACAAATTTTAGTAAGTTGATCCTCTGCAATTTGAAGGCCAGTTAAAGTGTCCAATTATAAATTGCGAACTTAAGTGTAATTGGGGTAAATTACACGTACGAAATCGCCCGAATTATATATCATTATTTATATAAATATATAATTATTTATCTATATTTTTTCCATAACTAACACGTAATTGTATGAATTTTGTATAGCGTGACTGTTATTCAGCAGCTTATATTTTCTCTTCTTTATTTTTTTAAATTTAGTCCTGAAATACATTTATTATTATTATTATAAAGTACAGCTTCCGATTGTTTCACTTTAGACTTTTTTAGGCATCAGTTGGTATCCTGCCAATGGGAACAGGTAATGATCTGTCGAGGGCCTTAGGATGGGGAGCGACGTGCGACTCAGTCTTAGATGCACATTCCATAATTGATTCCTTAATTAGAGCTGTAGAGAAGCCCTTAGACCGGTATGTTGACTATACACAATTTAATTACGTAGAATTTCTCATCATCCCATTTAGCGGAAGAAAAAAAAAAGCCTGCAATCTTACCTAACTTATTACTTGTAATATTAGCGATCCCGAATTCAATTTTCGGTTTTCATTTCACGTAATTCTAAGTTCATCGCCACATAACATATTACATACTTTAATTTAATTTACTAATAACATATATATATCGTTTATATCGTTATCATACATATATATCGTTTTATATATTGGCCGAGTGATTTAAGCGTGTGACGGTCTTTTACAAAACTCATGCCTGCTGTGCCTCACAATACTTGCTCGTACGATGAACAACAAACATTGGAGAAAACTGGCTCTTAGATCCAAAAATCGACATCAGGCTGATCACCTACTTGTCTATAAAGAAAATCAAAGAATAGGCTTTGTAATTACGATTGTCTTGTTGGACAACGCTTGAAATTTTTATTTTCACAGGTGGAAAGTGACGATAACTCCGAAAAGACGTAGCTTGGGTCGCCTTCGCGGACCTCGTGTACTATACGCGTATAACTACGCAAGTATTGGTGTAGACGCACAGGTCGCGCTCGACTTCCATCATGCGCGGGAGCAGTTCCTCTATCGATTTGCAAACCAGACACTGAATTACGTGAGTGAAGTAGTAGTCACCCTTTAATTGGTACCGTTTTTTTAATTCTTTTTTTCTTTATTATTCTATTGTATTCAAAATTTAGTCATGATTATTTATCACTCATTGTCTTGTCGGCTTATGAATAGGCTAGAGGACGCCTTTAAACTAAACAAATTGTATTTCCAATAATTTATCGATTTCTTGGACAAGGGTTAGGTGGATTAGATATATTTGGCCTTAACATTTCATCCGCTTCATCTTGATGGCTGGAAGTCTTTCACGGTCCGCTTCACAAGACATTTGACATTTTGCGAATTAGCGAACTGTGGAATCGACTCCCATTTGGAGTCTTCCCTGGGATATAAGACCTCCAATTGTTAAAAAAAGACCATACGAGGATTATCAAATGCCGGCAACGTACCTACTAAAATGATGGTCAATGACTGCTCTTTTTGGGCGACCCGTAGGCTCATTTGCCCCTATAAAAATATACGACCTAATTATGAATGGCTAAAGATGGGCGTATAATACATCCTTACCTTATGTTACGATGTTTTAACCTACCCTCATTGATGAGTAAATACAAATTTTTGCGTTTATTTCTTTTAATTAATACAGAATGACGATAATAATTTATATCTTTGGTGTTCTCAAACGACAGTATCGCCGGATGTCGAATTATATTCTATGTTTGAATGGGTTTAATAACGACTTACAGGTGGCCTATTTAGTGCTGGGCGTTGGTCGTGCGTTGGACGATGGCGGTTGTTTTGGTCTAGAGCGGCGGATGCGCGTGTATGCGCCTACGCAGCTATCTTTACCCCCGCTACAAGCACTTGTCGCACTCAATATACCGTCTTGGGGTGCTGGCGTCGACCTTTGGAGTAAGTTTTATTAATTCACTATAATGTATGTTTAAATACGGGGGTAGACAGATACACAAAGCCCTATTATTCTATAAACTTCTTTTTTACCTCTTATTTATGCGTGTTTTGTTTAGTTGTTTGTATGCATTTAGCGGATAGGCGTTAAACGTTGAAATATTTATCAATTTGCAATACAGTAAGTCGCTTTTTCTGTTGTCTGCACTACTCTACAAAATCGATAGAAAAAATGGATTTTTACGTATTATTATTTTATACTTTTAAATGTTTTCGTGTAGATTTCCTTTCAAATATAAGAGGATGGATAAAATGTAGAACCGTTTTCTATTTATAATTTAGATGCAACGAGGATTTCAATGTCCATTAATCTGATTCGTGATCATTTATTTTTTCCAATAGGCAGTAGGTGGATCAGCTTTTTGTGCCTGACAAACACCGTTGACTTGGGTTTCGGGTTAAGGCATTTTTTTTTCAACGTCTACTACACACCTATTATAGGAGAAATCGTCTGAGCTAGTTTCAGTATTTCACTACAAATTTTTATTGATAGGTATGGGCAGTGAAGAAGTACCTGAGCAAAGTATGAATGATCGAAAGCTGGAGGTAAGGTTAACTTTTAACTGTTTACTTTAACGTATCTGAATAAAGATACAATTTAACTGCGAACTAATTATAAAATATATATACTGAACTATACCGAATGTATAGAATACGCTCACCTTATAGTGGAACGATTTAAAATTTTGATTAATATAAAAATAAGACATAATTTTATAAGACAGTAAATAAAAATTAAATATTGTATAAGCCTTTAAAAACTTAGCAATAATAAATAACTCCTAATATCTGTACTAATATAAAAAATTAAGAGTTATATGTCTATTAAACTCAAAAATGACGTCACCGATTCCAAAAATTCATCACAAGAATGCTACATTATCTCTAAGTAGCAAAATTTTTTATAAACTTCAATGTCCAGCCATAAGAAACCTGGACAAGCGGTTGGTGGTATAACAGCTGAAAAGTTCGCAGGATAACATAGAAATAATAGTTTTTTTGATAGAATTTGATTTGATTATTCAATATACATAGTTGCCTTCGAGAGCGATACAACGATTATAGTGGTCAGGCAATTTTTCGATAACTTTTCTATTACGATTACTCTTTAGCCTCAAAATAGGCTTCAGTTCTGGCGATTACCTCTTCATCAAAAAATTTCTCTTCAGCGAGCATTTTCTTGAGGTCTAAGAACAGGAAACAGTCGCTAGGGGACAAATCTTACCAAAAATTTCGGATTTACTTTTGAACAGCTTCAAACACTGCTCAGAATCATCAATTCGTTGTTGTTTTTGATCAATTGTGAGCTTGCGCGGCACCCATTTTGAACAGAGCTTTCGCGAATCCAAATATTCATCTAGGATGTGTGCGACACGTTCCTTAGAAATCGAATAATGTTTATCTAGCCAAGCCTTGCTTCAATGGTATTTTTTTTCGCTAAAAAGGAATGCTTTTTTATTAACACACTTTTTTTTGAAATAAAGAAAAGTCCTTCATTCAAAATACTATATCTCACAAACTAATAGTACGACAGTGGTCAAATAAACTCGTGTATTTTGAAGGTTAATTCTAACTAAAAATCATATTAATTTAATACTAGTAGCGCCAACTATGTGTCACGACGAACCTACGAACTTCAGTCCGCTGATTAGTTAAATTTTAGCACACGGCTTTTCTTTCAAATTTCACAATTCTGTATATGCACCATCATTCTCAGCATTCTTTAAATCAATCCCCTTGCAAAACTCCATATTTCAATTTCATCCCTGCTTTTAATGATTACACTTATCATATAGGTGGTGGGAATATCGTCTTCATTCCACATAGCGAGGCTCCAATGCGGTCTCGCAGAACCATTCCGTTTTACGCAAGCCTCTGATGTAAGGGTATGTATTTCTATCTATTATAGTGTAGTCCTGAAACGATATCTACCTTCTAAACAATATTGTATTTAATTTACTCAATATAATTGTAAATATATCCTACCGGATTGAAATGCGTTGCATCAGTTTTAACGATTATTTTGCATAGTTAAAAACTAACGCACGGCTCGGTACTGAAAAAACAAGTAAACGGAAAGGGAAAAATCTATTTATATTAAATATTTTTTTATGAGTAAGAAGGTAGATGTAAAATTAATAATGTTAGGATATTAAAACGCATTTTGAACCGGTAGTATTTTATTTCATGCATACCAGGGGCTTGAGACAAAATCACCTTTCAACAGTCGTGGCCTATGAACGTTTAACGGATTTGTATGGGAATGACATTAGCTCACGTTTTGTCCCGTGACCATTTTTTATATGAACTAGTTTGGCGTTAGTGGAACACGACTGCCGAAAAGAAATTTTTCTCAAGGCCCTTATAATAAAACAATTATAAGACTATATATTTATAATCCATTTAGATTGAGTTGGAAGGCTCTTGCGCTATGCAAGTAGATGGCGAGCCTTGGATGCAAGGACCGGCGACAATTCTAATACAGCACGCCGGACAAAGTATGATGCTTGTACCGTCTTAAATGTAATTTGAAGCATTACGTAATTTATTGTTAATACATAGCTGTACCGTGTCCGAAAAAGTTCTAAAAAAACCTTCACGTTAAATATTTGTTAAATAAAATAGTTTTGCATTCAGAGGGTGGTGTATTTCTAATACAAATATATTCCATAACTGTCAATTGTGGATCTACCGTTCATTTGCTAATACTTTTATATTTACTAATATAAGCAAATAAAATTTAACGGATATTATTTGCTTTTTTCGACTTTTATGAATGATTTTTATTTCTTAGTGCGAACACGTAATAAATACGAACGAGCAACATAAGCCGCTATTTTCTTAAAAAACATAGACAATCCACATTTAATAGGCCAGTTACAATTTAGAAATGAGTACCTATTGTCAATCTTCATATATAAAAATGTTTGACAATTCTTTTTCCTTTTTATGGCTATAAAAATGGCTTCCTATTCAAGAAATGGATTTTGCCAAAATTACCAATTACCAAAATTGATGACGTACAAGTGTTAACAATTATAATTTTTCTTAAATTTGACGTCTCTTGATAGTAGATTTTAATTCGATTTCGACACTGGTTAATTAAGGCTCAATTTGTGTATTGCAATTTAAGTCAATTTTACCTACACTGTATAGTTATACTATAGAGATAAAGTGTGTTTGTAGTTTTCTCTGGAGCCACTAATTTTCATAATTCACCAGTAGTAATTTACATTATTTCAGTGACCTAAGTAGTTCTCGTAATGTCGCGACACTAGTTAATAATATGGTGAAACTTATACTTGCTTATTTTTTCCGCCCACATTTACACCAAAAGGACAATATTCAAAACATCACCCAGATAAGACAATCGCAATAAAATTAACTATCATACATCAGTGCCGCTACTCAGTAACTTCCATAAGCGATACCACTTTGTATGCAATTTCGATGTAGTTCTCTTAATATCCGTAGCAATGATATCGCAACTTTGGTTTCGCGTGATACGTGATACGCAATCGCTATTGAGAGTTACAGAGTACCGATACAGTTTTTAGTCAACTTATAGTTATCTGTTAAATATCGTAATTTGCATTATTGTAATTCTTATACATTAAATGCCAAATTATAAACTCAGAATTCCAAATATTGTATTTAAGTATCATACCCATTTTATAACACTTAAATTTTTAATAATATTTGTGTGTCTAGTGATAAAGGTTTCTATGTGTATTTCGTATTTTATTTTTATCGGTGTAGTTGAGAATTACTTTTAAATATTTATATGCCAAAGATATTGATGTTGTGTGTATTAAATAAATATATAGATATTGCATATTAGTTTTGTTATTTTCATCTCTAATCTGTTTGAATAAGCATTTTCACATTTTATACTACTAGACATATACATTACATATTTTATTCTACAAAATTGCGCCCTTACATTTCTTATTGCTAAACCAATTTTTTTACAATGGTTTTTTTTACATTTTATGAGTTATTTATTAGTTTGCACGTGACATTAAGCTTTACACGGCTATACTAAAGCATCGCTAATAGTCGTAAATGTATTTAATATTTTAGTCTTAGAACTCGCAGACGTCATAATACTAAATTACGTCTCGTCGTAACGTCGTTTGACTAGTAGTTTTGAAACTAACGTTTTTAATGTTTTTACGGCCTGCCATTTATGAGGAAAAACTTTGTAATTTTTAACCAATCCTAATACGATATGTGACTACTAGATGGGAAGAAAAGATTTTCAATAAAATTTTAGTATTTCTTAAATATAAAATAAAACGAGAGTATTATGTAACAATTTTTAATACAAAACCACATATATGACAAAATATTTTTCTACACTTATTCGTTTAGACACATTACTATAGACATACATGAATAATAGTTAAAATGCATCTAAAGACTAATTTCAATAAAATAAGTATACTCTTGGAAGATACAGTGATAAATTTGTGCAAGACATTGATTAAAGAATAGAAACTTTTAACAATAAATACGTTATGGGTAAATAAAAACATCACAAACACCAAAGATTTATTTCGTTATTTCATAGGCCACATACCTTACTTAATAAAATTGTCCTAAGGAATGTCCGTTGACTGATTAAAAAACATCAAAAAATATTACATCTATAAACCAGTGGCGTCTATTTGGCACAGAGTATAAATGCATGAAAATAATAAAAAGCATTAATCATAATAAAAAATAATTAACTATATTTAGTTTTTTATGGTAGAGTAACCCTAAAGGTGGAAGTATGGGATTTTAAGTAATTATTACTACCACATACTGTATAGATAGTCAAGAGCTATGAGTTTTAGCATTTACTACTTAAGAAAAAAAATCTCCCAGCATGTCTAACCATTTGAAAAACTATTGTATAATTAAATGCAACTAATTCTATCAAGCTTAAAATTAAATTATATGCGAATAAATATTTGTGCCATTGCATGTATAATGTAAAAACATAAATTATAAACACAGTCAACATGATACAATGTATCCTACGTCTTTGAGACAAATTGTACACACAATAATAAATTATCACCACAGCATCCAGATCACAAGAAGAAATTATTCACTGGTAACTTATTACTACTCTAAGTTATAAATATATGTGCTATATTTGAACTATTTTACGAATAATTAGACCATAAATAGGATAATAATCTTGATTGAACATTGTGACGATTTTTAAAGACAATGATTTATACGTATAGATAAAACGTTCAACAGATACATTTTTTAACAGAATTTTATGAACTGTTTGTATAGAATACAAGTCATAATTTAACATTCAAGATAAATCTATTTTATATTTCGTCAAAAGTGTAAAAATAAATAATAATGGTAAAAGTTGGCATAAAATATTGTCAAGTGTACATTGTAAACACTATACATTAAACTAGATGGAAAACGTTGAAATCCCCTATTAGGAACATGACTTTGAACACAAATAAGGCCATACAACATTCAATATATGTCAAAACTGAAGATACTGTTAAAAGTATCTATTTGTTATTTATATTTTCTACAAATCTGAATTCTAATAGTCAATATTTTATTTGAAAAGTTCTTTGGCCTCTATTCTACTTTTTGTACTTTGAGAAATCCAAAGTTAATTCTAAGTTGTTCGAGGAATACAAATGTCAGTATAGTGTGCGGTGCTAATCTCACAAATGCTGGAATGTATCCTTTGAAGAATGCAAGGGGCCCTTCTCTAGCCGTTCCCATTATTAAACTTAGAATACCTTTGATTTCACCTGGCTTGGCATTCATTGCTCTAGTCTTAAGTACATCTACAGGTTGTGTCATTGTTGTTGCTATTGCACCCTGAAAATTAAATTCACTTTCCACTTTGTACACTCCATCTAGGTATAAAATTATGTCCCTTTACTCCCAAACATTTTGTAACCCTGATTTGAACCAACAAAACAAAACAATATACTTACAGCTAATAGACTTGAAGTAACATGCGTTGAAACATTATCACCAAAGTATGGTGTGGTAGTGAGGAAGCTCTTTATTAAATCGTAGAAAGAGAGTTGTCCTATAGTCATCAATGCGGCTCGGCTGCAAGTCATTGATGCACCAGCCCATAAACGCATGACTCCCTCTTTTACCGCAACTCGATACAAACCATGAATTGCGTTTTTGTAACTAAAAGACAAAATTGATAATTACATAATTGAAAAATAAGAATTAAACACCTTTTTTCATAAGAGATAAGAACAAACATGTAGGATTTAAGATTGAAACTATAATATTCTACTCACTTTCTTCTTTGGTCTGGGGGAAGCTTCACATCATTTTGCATCCTGACATTGACTAAGTCAGCTGGATTACCAACAAAACCACCAGCAAAACCGCCAAGACCAGCTAATAAAGCCGACATATAGAACGGAATAGGCACACCCTGAAACTCCATCATTCTGATATAACTTCAATCTCTGTGTCAGTAACAAGAAGTACTAGTAGTATGTCTTTAATTCAACAGGTTGTTACCTGCTCATGCTGATTTGCACAATGAGGATGAAAGAAAATTCTTTTCCAAAAGTCCTTTTTACATTTATTTCTATTACCAATCATATATATAGCTTTACATCAATGGAATTTTTTATTTGTTATTTACAATATGTCTTATAAATGAAAAATATTGAACTCACATCTTTAGGTGCCAAAGTTTGTTTTGCTACTTCATAAATACCAAACCTTGCTGTTGAATATGTAAGCTGACGTAAAAGAGATGCTGATATTCCATTATACAATCCCATTATACCTGAAAGCGAAATTTAAATTGATTAAAAAGCTCAGTAAGTGTTAAGCCTATTTTCTGTTGGATCTTCTTTTTTTTACGACATACCTTGATTTTTCAAAACTATTTGGGTGAGTTTCAATATAGAGACGTTGTTTCCTTTTTGGGTCTGCATTTGTACTTTCAATAAATCCAAGGGATGGGTTACACATGCTGCACCAGCGGAGGCAAGGCCTCCAAAGTACCATCGAGATATCCTTACTTCCCCCATTCTGTAATAGATTACTTTTATTGTTTATTTCCTCACCTCTAAGGCTGCTTCAAGGTGCTTTCACCTCGCTAAGAGTACTAAAGTTCATTATGTAACCAGCAACGGTAATAAATAATAACGACTTATTTGCTTAGGTTTAACTTTTTATCACTTAGCAACCAGTTTTCCCTGAATGAATGAACTTAATTATACTTAAATGTCTAATTATTAACGAATAGATAAAATGGTTATAAGCCGTTTAGATAATTTTAAATGTTTTTAAAGTAATCATTTGAATTGTTTATTAAACATAACTCTAACCTACTTGCCTAGCAGCAACCAACTGGTCAGTGGTCACTGGACTGAGGACTCGGCCAATCAAAAAGGTATGGAGATTGGAGACTGGAGTTTGGATTTGTAATTTCTATCTCGTAAATGTAAATTGTAAGAATACGTGAATGAATCACAGACACAATCTTTTAGTAGTCGATGTCAAGTTACAAGTGTCAACTTTCGTCATCAAGCCTCAAAGCTACTTTTAGAAATAATTAGAGGTAAAGTAAAATATCACGATAGAAAGTAAATTTCCTTACTTCGTGGGTAAAGTTAAGATGAGTGTTATCTCTCTTCTTAAATCCTTTTATCCTAGTCCACAATATTTGATAAAATTCTTATATGTCAAAATGATGAAAGTTATATTGATAAGTATGGTCGTTTACTTATACATATTTAATTAGTAGGTTTGAACTTAGCGGTGCTGCGAACAGTCTGTCACAATTTGGCAACGGACCTAGCACGAACTATAGGAACTTTTAGGAAGACTAGTAGCAAACTAGCATTATGATAAAATACGATTAAGGAATGGTCTAGTGATCTAGTCTGTGTGTAAACCGTCGATACACAGCCTCAAATATTTCTTTTTTTTAAACATGACAAATTCTAGTCATGTTGAGTTGCATCGAAACTCAAACTATTGTTGGCTCAGAATAATATGAATGGTGCAGTATTGTGCATATTATGGTCCATATTTATGTCAATAGATTGTCTATCTATGTTCTGAGTTCTCATATGGTGCGTTCCACTAAGCGCTCACGACGATCACGCTCACGACCGCTGATTTCCCCATTCCACTTGATTGTGAATGTTACTGTCGTTAACTCAAGTGGAATGGATTATGGAGCGTTTCGGGCGTTCATGTAAATATTACAAATGTCAAGTTTGAAAATAGTAGAATTTTAAGGAGGTTAGGTAATCATAAACAATAAGTTTTGATATTTGTGACTTAAATTTATTTATGTTAAAAGTGAAGAATAATTGAATATTTTATAAATAATTTTGGTGAAGTTATCAAACAACTTAAGTTTAAATATAATCGAAATGGCTTTACAATTTCTCTTTCTGAATCAAATAATGTGATTTTTCTTGTCGCCATCTTTAAGCTTTGTATATATTATTATTTGTCATATTTCAAAAAAAAATTCAAAAATTGCGCCAAATTATTCTCAACGTTCACAACGACCCACCTCTTTAGATGGGTCGTTGTGAGCGTTGCGTGAGCATTATCCATGACGTCATGAGTGACGTTTTCGCCGTGACCACAACGACCGCGGTCGGTATGTGGAATGGCTAAAGGAGCATTTTGATCGTCGTGAGCGCTTAGTGGAACGCACCAATAAAAACTAAACTTGATGTTATAACTCACCATTAAATACCTGTGGTTACAACTTACAATCATCAACCACAGACCACTACAGTTGCCAAATAAGCATATAAATTATAACCTTAAAATAGTAAATACCAATTACCACCACGAACAATTAAGGATCAACTATCAACTTATCAAGCAATCTCAATATTAAACATAAAATATAAATAATAGGCCGTTCAATAGCAAAAATAATATCACTTTCTGGCTTTTAAATTTGGCAAAATTACTGTAGGGCATAGACTAATAAAAGAATTCCGAAAAGACAAGTGCTATAAGGATTAAGGTATATAATAAGCATATTATTTCAATAATTAGTAATTCTGTCTTTAAATAATTACAAGATCTGATATAATATTAACAACAATAGACGATATATAATTTTGTAAAAAGTGTTTTATAATATGGCTTACTTTTATTAAATAACATACTTTTATAAAAATACTTTTTATTAAATTACATGAAAATATTCGAAGAAAAGACATTTGGTTGCATTTATTATTGTGATTAATTAACGACTTACATTAAATGGTGGTTACACACTTCTTTTCCTAATTTAAAGTACCTGAAACACTAAACAGTACTATATATTATCTTATTTTCTAATAATATATCTTTTTATGTATTATTATCTTCTGATACAAGACTGAAAACAGCTGATTATATTCTGATTATTTGTTTCAGATGTCTGATATAATAACAAGCCTCTATTTAGATAAGAGAACTACACATAAGATACTCGTAGCAAAGGAACTAAATGGTTGTGATAGTTCATTTATTACAAGTTGTGTACTTGGGAACTGCATTAAGATCAAAAGCCCAGTTCTTGTAATATGTTCACATAATTCTAAAGAGCATTATCAGAATGTTGGTTTAAAGATGAATTATAATTTAAATAAGAATATTGAAAGTGGGCTAATACAGTTTTACAATTTAGGTGAAGAGCTTGTAAATGCACTTCTGAATGATGATATTATTTCTTGTGGCAATGTTATCAACAATTTGAAGAAACAAATAGAAAACATGCATGAAACACATAGTTCAGTAAACGTAATTTTTGATGGTGTTTCACAGCTATTTGACTTGGAGTATAGTTTGAGAGATGTGAATTATATTTGTAAAGAAATAATAGATCTTATTAGGTCATATGACAATTCTTTTTTGTTGTTCCATTGCAATGCTGCATGTGAGAATGATGAAACTCATGTATTGGCAAATTTACTGGCTTATAAGTGTCATGTGCTTATAGAAGTTGATCACTTAGCTTCTGGGTTAAGTGCTGATGTTTCAGGTCATATAACTTTTACGTACCCAAGCAAAAAATTTCAAAAGGAACATATGAATAAAATTGATCAGAAACCATCACATCATTTGTTTAAATTATTTGATAGAGGAGTTAAATTGTTGGCTCATGGTGCTGTTTAACAACTACAAAAACAATAAAATGTAAATAATATTCTGTGTTGACTTGTAAATAAAGATAATATCGTATTGTTGTTTATATTATTTTTTATTTATTAATTTCTATTATTTTATTTTTTTATCTACACTGTTACCTTAAACATATATCCAAAAAAAAAGATTACATAAGTTATATGGCAATGGGCGTCCTTATCCCTATCAAGCGATTTCATCCAGGCAACCCTAGTATGGAAAAATATACATATTATATTATATACAAGAGCATAAATAACAAAATGACATAACAATTCCATGTTACACTAGTAATATACTAACTAAAATTTTAGGGTTGATGAATGAGTATTATATAGAAGCTAATTATGAGGCAGAAGAAAAATGCTCATAAAGAATATTCAGCTTGTCAGTCATCAAGAGGTAAGTAACAAAGAACACCAAAGTACAGTACGTTGCAGAGTAAAGGTTGATTGATGAATTTCAATTAATTATTACTTAAATTGTTAACACAAACGTAAATAACACAGTTAAATAGGGAAAAGCATTTTTGCATAGGATGTATCACTTACATAACGCTTATTTTAACTGGAAGCAATGTAATGTACTGTCGGTTTGGCAAATAACCAGACTGTCGTGACGGTCATATTAATATTTCTCGTGAAATATTGCATATTTTGCTACTATGTTAATTTGTTCACCTTCATTTCGATAGGTCGAGCAAAAACTATGGACTTACTTTAATTTTTAACTTTGAAAGATGCCGAAGAAAAAGCTGGTACAATGCAACGTAATTTGCTTATTTGCTAGTTATTTTTGGAAGACTTCGGTTAATTGCCCCGACTTTACATAGAAATCGCCTCGTTAAGAAATTCTTAAAAATAAGTTCCTGTATATTTTAAATAGTATAGGTACTCCAATGCGTCGTAAACGAACGATGTAAAATTTGTAGTAAATAATATGAAACAAAGGGTTTAACCAAAAATTAATTGCTACAACTGCGCATGGAAGTTCCGAGTTTGTGATGATAAGCTGCAGCCATAGCAACTACATTATAAGTTAAGGCTGTATTTACATTTTTCACCTTCATGTTCAGTTCATGAATATGTACGGAACTGAAGACCGTGTGCTTAATAAACTTTCAGAAAAATATCACGAAATTTTCGAAAATATTTAACTTATTATCAATAAAGCTTATTGAAATCATTTAATAGCATTAAAAATCTTTAATAATGACCCAAACAAATTTTGGTACTGATAAACTTAGTGGTGGACGTTCGGTTACCGAAGAAAAGCTTCTGGTAAGTACCTTAGTATTTTGCGTTCTTTATTTATATTTTATAATATATTAGACATATTATAAACATACACGTTTACAAATCACCTATACGAGTATAATGGAACAAGGAAAACATAATAAATAAAATGTTCCTATGCAATAACTTATATTCGACACAATAAAAGATAAATAAACATGAAAACAATACAGTGTACGTTCCCGATTACTAAATAAATTCGTTTATAAATAGTATGTACATATATGTAAATCTTCTCCCTCCTTAACTCTTAAATAGTTATCCGAATACAACACGAATCCTTCTAAAGAAAAGTCTATAAATAAGATTTATAAATTGAAATACGTGATGCAAGCTTAAAAAAATCTATAATAATAAAGGTTTTTTCTTTCAATTCCTTTTTAATCAATTTTGCATTTTTTAGAAGACTAAGTTGGTTGGTTCATTCTCATTACCTTGAGAGTCGCAAGCTTAATCACTGGGCCATCGCCTCTCTTCCATATAAATATTATATAACAGATATATAGCTAAAACATTCTTCTTTACAGGTTGCAGTGCGAGTCAGACCTCTACGAGCTGACGAAGGTTCACGGATCGTTCATGTTGTTAGTGATAAGGTGACTTTTGAGCCTACTATATACTCTGTATTGAAAATTGAATTGCGTCTATACTTTATAGTATTTGTTCAAAAACAAAAATTAGGGATATCCAACTATCTACAATATATATAATAAAACTATCTAATCGAATCTTACAAAAACCTCGCAATCATTTGTTTTTTCTAATAGGCATGGTGTTCAGGCTTCTGTGTCTGACACATCCCCTCGACCTTGGGTATGCCTATTTCCTCACGATGTTTTGTCTTCACCGTACGAGCGAGTGTTAAATGCGCTAATAGACAGAACGTCTATTGGTGAACGGGATTCGAACTTATGATCTCAGATATGAGAGTCGCTGAAGCCAGTAGCCTCGTAACTAAGAATTTTACGTTGAAAATATTACAAGAGTTTAAGCAGAATTAGTTCCGTAGACTCTCCAAAGATAGCCATCGCTGACGTGAATGTGGAACGAGGTATAGGCGATGACGTCAACTTTTATCATAGTTTATATGCACTATCATCAATGTCATGCGAATGATAAAGATATTAATGGGAGTATAGTAAATGGGTTTTTTTTATGTAAAAAAATATTGTTTTTCGCGTAAGAAACGTGTCAGAAAGTAAAAGTTAAAAAGAACTTAATAAACCTATTTTTAAATCAGTTTGGAATCCTAGATTTTTCAATTATTGCAGCTCAGAAAACGCCTTCGACCGAGTTAAACTGTCACGATAATACTGTATTATATAGTATTTGAACTTCTTAAGCCTTTGTCATACAAATACTTTTAATGTATACGAGTATATTACAAACACATATAATGACTTTATATATCAATCATCCAGCGGTACTGGACACTGTCATGGACGGCAAAACGTAATGAATATTTCAAGGCTTTTGCTTTAACTATATTGCTTTTTATATGCTGTTAGATCTCACAATCTTAGAGAGATTAAAAAACGAGACAGCTCGAATTATTACTTCCATGTGTTCAGACGCCAAAGGATTATATTGATTAATATACATACTTATAAAAAAATATACGTACAATTGACAACTCCTTCGGTTTTAAGTGGGTACGTTATATTACAATATACAATTTAAAATAAAAATAAATTATTTATAATAAAACAAGATGAAATTATGTTAATTAGGAAACGATGACCCGTCCCCTCGTTTGCGCTATCTGTACCTTTAATACACAATTAATTTCTATGAGTTTCTACCGGGAATAGAACGTATCGATTTATTTGCAGATGCTGGTTTTGGAGGAGGAGACAGACAGTCGCCGCGATGTTCTCAGACAGCGTCGCATCAATGATAAACATTATGTCTACGATAAAGTTTTTGGCGAAAGTAGCACGCAGGTAAGTTGAATTTCTATTTTTATGGGACTACTTTATAAACGATTTTTTTGGAATAATGAATATGTTAGTTGTCCCTAAGCAATACATTAATTAATTAAATTAACACTGAGTCTTAATGTGTAACGTCGAATTAAGTAGCGAGTTTTCGTAGAATTTTTTAGGCGGTTTTATACGACTCTTAATACCGTTAGATACGAACATAAGCTGTTCTAGGATTCATATTTATTAGCTTGCTGAAAACGTCTTAAGTTGTCCAAAAATTATTTTAAAATAATTCAAGTATTTTTAATAATAATTGAATTTTTATGTACATTATATAAGAATGTAAAACGCAAAGATGAAACCAACGGGACTTTAATATTCTTTAATATATTATTTAATTTATGTGTCTGTCTCTTTTCTATCGCTTTGTCGTTTCATTGACTTTCAAACTTTAATTATTTTAGTTTTTTTTCAAAATTAAAGATTGATATTTAACTTAAAATTGAAATAAGAAAAGTCTAATACTACATTTAGATAGTGAAAACAGACTAATTTACACATATTATTAATTATAAAAACTTTTTTAATCATTGTAGTTTTTATCAAAAATTTATAATTGATATTAAACTTAAAAATTAAAATTACATTTCATTACAATTTCACTTCTACCACGTGTGAATTGCACACATTTTTTTTCAAAAAGGGCGGATTTGCTGTGTAATCTTATGTATATTTTTAATTTGGAAGTCTAGACATCTACTAAATATTGTCTTTGGTTAACATATTAATTTTTTATAACTCTCGTCTCTTTACTGACATTACAAAGACCATTTTACATTCTACATATAAGAGTAGGTATTATAAAAAAAATATAACATTATCTATTTCAACATTTTAATTCCTTTGTCGTCAGCGAAAGACTGCCACATCAAATTGGCACAACAACAGTTAGTTAAATAATGTATTAGTGAATATCTGTTAAAGGTACCCCTTTGTTTTATTTATTTATATGGAAATTGTGACAAATCTAGGACGAAGTGTACGATGCCGTATGCGCTCCGTTGGTTGGTGATACCCTTAATGGAATAGCTGGTGCAGTATTTGCATATGGCGCTACCGGGGCTGGCAAAACGCATACGATGACGGGTTTGATGTCGCGTGCCTTAAGCCATTTATTCAGCGCGATAGCCAAGAGTGAGAACCCTGATTCATTCGAGGTATGTAATCTCATTTATTATTAAACGTAATTGATAATTTTGTATGGGAACTTTCGATATGAGGAAATTTATATAGTAATTAGTGTTTAGGCTTCGCACGGCTGGCTATTTATTACAATCACTATCATAACAACGATAATGTAAAAAAAAATAACTATAATAAAATATATGATATTAGATACATATGATATACAATATCGCTACTGTGAACTCACTGTGCGAACATATAAAAATGTCGAGCAATCAGTAAGCTAAGACAAATAATTATGGGTACATTACGGGATAGGTAGGGATAGATGTCATACAGTCTGTAAAAACATGTAAATTTATTCTGTAAGCGCTCCAACATAAGACAGTATTTAGTTTCATGCGGAGCCCAAACAGACGAGTTATACTCTTAACAAACTTCGAACCGTTGTACAATCTTGAGATGGCCTTAATGTTAGTAAACGTTGTTCCCTTCGAAGCACAAATCCTATTCTTATGAATGCTTTGCAAATTTCCAGTATGCGATCCCGAAAAGTCAGCTAGGCATCTACCTTACTACTCTGCTATATGATATTGTTTTTTGTAGATATTAATAACTTCTATAAAAGTGTAGTACATCACTTTGTTCAATAGATTTTGCAGCGTATTTTTTCACACCTTGTAATGTGTTGGATTCTAATGGTGAAATAATTTTTCAATTCGGTTTCGTATTTTTTGAGCCTATTCAATGCTCTTTGCCTTCAAACCTTACTTACCTCTTTCTAATATTAGTGTAAATTGAAATATTTTTCAATTAGTTTTATTTAGGCTGCTTAATCTTAAAAATATGGATCTCTCAATACCCAAAAATATATAACCAACTCAAAATTATATTAAACAGTGCACGCTTGTAAAAAAATATAATAATTTCAGTACTATAGTATTAAAACATTTAAAATTCAATATCATTAGTTTTCCGTGTTTACCTTTTTTTAGAATGATTTTTTCAGCTTCCATACTATGTTAGGTCATTATATTTTGAATATAAGGATTATTAAAAATTAATAAAAACATATTTAACTCAGGCTAATTGTTAAACTTCTTTGTTATTTATGGTGACGAAAGAGCATATTGTTTACGCAAAGATTACAATAGCGTGAACGAGTTACCTTTTAACAAGTATAATAATCAATAAGTATTACATTTTCATAACGAAACAAGGCATGGACTCCTAATCACACAATTATTTTCACTTTTCACCTTTATATAAGTTTAATGAATACTAAAATAATAATGGATCAATGAATCATAATAAAGTCATGAAGTATGTTAAGTTTACTCTAGCGTCTATGAGTTGCATCAAAGACAATTAAATTACGTTACTCTTTGGTTATATGTTGGCGTGTCAGAATACGAGGCATATCCGTATTCAAAAATTTGTCTAGAAATTCTATTCACTCCAATGAATGTAGGCTAAAAAATATACGGTAAAGCGATACGTTTTTGCTTTAACTTTTAAATGAATGATAATTACTTTATGACGACAAATTAATTTTTTTCTCCTTCGCCAAACATTGGCACCCTTTTTGGACCCTGAATCACTTAGAATTCCCTAGCTTTGGCATGCCCATATGTACTCCCCATAAGACGTGTCCCTGTACTGTAGCCTTGGACACCACGGCGTGCATTGACAAAAGAGTGCAGGTTGTTTTTGTTGTCACGCCGCGCTCAACGACATCATACGCCGCTGTCTTGGCTCTGTCAATGATCCAGCCATTTTGGAGCCAACGGAAAAGACTATTGTAAGCGGCCAGATGTCTTGATCCCTTGGAAAATGGGACGGGCTTTGGTATGGGATGCTACTTGTGTCGACACGTTAGCCCCGTTTCATCTCCCTCTGAAAAGCAGAAAAGCTGGCGCGGCTGCAGAGCAGGTTAAAAATAATAAACGGCTCAAACATTATTTCCAAAGAGTCTTTCCTCCAACTTTGATTTGTCCAACTCAACTTTGACTCCTCCATGGGGTTCAAGTGCACAGGCGCTAATTAAAGAATTAAGTTGGCGCCTGGTAGGTAGTACCGGTAACCTCTGAGCTGGTGATTTCCTCGCTCAATTAATAAGTATCGCAATACAGCGAGGAAATGCTGCCATTATTGTACCTTACACTGCCACAGGGATCAAGCTTTTTAAATTTGTTTTAATTTTCTATTTATCAATTTTTTATTATTAAAATTATATTTTTTTTTGAAAAATATGTTCGTTAGTGGTAAATTTAGTCTATATAGGAAAGATGAGCTGATCACGACTGATCTTTATTTAATTTAGTTAATGTAAGTATTTAGATCAAAAGTAGAAAAGATATCTTTAATTAAATTGTAAAGCATCATTCTATCCTCGGAAGGCATATACAAAATTACCAACACTGTATCGTTCTAAAATTGCAAGTCGATTTTCTATAGAAAATAAATGTTTGTCGACACTTTCATTATATTTGCGAAGTTTGACCTCGTTGCTTTCGGTGCCACGGATTTGAGAAAACCTTGATCTTATTTCATTATTAATAGATTCTGTACTAATATAATTATGTATAACCATACTTTTGCTCTCATAAGGCGTTGATTTATTATAGTTCTTAGTTGAATTTTTTAAGAGAATGATGTGTATCTAGAGATGAGAGCGTGTCAATAATGAGGCCGTGGGTTCGCATCATAGTTGAAAACCAATATATTTCTTTCTATATGCGCCAATAACTAGTAGGTACGGTAAAATATAGTGAGGAAACCTGCATGACGTACACCCAAAATTCTACAATTTGGGCCAGGCACAGACAATTAAAGAAAATAATGTTGATCATGTTTTTAATATGTCTAATAGATTTGAACTTTGCTTTTGTAAATATATGCAATCTGAGGATAATAACCATACTGGGTTCTCACTGGAATATTATGTATCTCGGCTTGGAATTCACCACCAGAGGGCTTATGTCAAGATAGGTTGCTGATGTCTTCACGAGACAAATTTTACTAAGGGCCTATAGATATTTTAATGTTTTCTCATTAAAGATTTCTTCTAATCAATCTTGTTTAGCGTATAACACTTCTATTCGCAGGCACTCCCCTCAAAGCCTCAGCTAGTAACGGAATAGTCGGTATTGGTGTCATGTCGAACGGTGTTTAGTTCCGCAGTCATCTGGAAGGGAAAGCTAAATTAGCCTCTAAAAAGCTCGATGTGCTCAGCAGGGCGCGACCGTACTTCACTCCGGATTTCGCGTGCAACTCTATAAAGCTCAAATCCAACCACACATGGAGTACTGCCTTGCGATTCTGTAACTCTGTTTTGATAAGGAGGGAGTTTGTAGTTTATTATTTATCAGAATACCAAATCATAAAATGACTGCTTTACGACTGATTTGAGCGCGACCGCCGCTGTGAAAACCGCTGTGTGAGTTCGAAAAGTGAGTTACAGAATCGCAAGGCTGTTCCCCCTTTGGGCTGGGGCTTCTCAATTCCAGCTTTGACCGCATCTAACGAAGACTGGCTCGAAACTGGCGGTTAATTCTGATCGGCTTTATTCTTTGGCGCTGCGTAGAGATAGGCTCTATCTGCATCTTCTATCGCATATTGCATGGGGGGTGTTCCGAAGAACTCTTTGGAATTGATATCTGCGGCTAAATTTCAAGACTGAATGCGAAATTTCACCCGTTCCACCTTGACGTCTAGCGTTTCACGACAGAGCTTTTAAGACACTACCTACTTGCCGCTGTCCACCACTTTATGGAATGAACTTTGTTCCAGGTAAATCCAAACCGTTACGACTTAGGGGCACGCACTTGAACACCAAGAGGTTTCAAAAAATATAAAAAATCAAAATTTATTTATGCAATAACAAGTTACATTGCTTTAGCAAGTATTGGAGCCCCTGAACTAAGTCAGGGTAATCCCCTCATCAAATTAAATGAAATTGTAACAACAATCGTAACTAAAATATTAGATAAAGAAAAATAGAAAACTGGGACAAAGATACAGGTTTACAAGGCTGAAACGTTCATCCTTTTATGAAGTAAAATTCCACATCAATAGCTTTTTTTCATTGTTTGCTCAAAATATTAATCACAGGGAAGTCCTTGACCCACGAATACCGACACAATAAATCTTACCTTTTTATAACATAGCAACAGCTTTCATAACGTACTTGCATAGCGATTTGAATATGCATTTAATTTATTTTAATTAAAATAATTTCGCAATACAACCTTTTTTTAAGTAGATATGCTTTATGCGTTTTAAAGCTGCAAAAGCACAGACAATGAGCTTTTCTTCGAAGGTTAACATCAGTTAAATAATTAATCCAAACAAAGATTTAGCTATAAGTGGACCTTTTAATACTTGTCAATTGCTTTAAAATCGATTCAGAAAATGTTTGCGATATTCTAATAGATACATTTTCCTAGAAATGTATGATAGTAATATTCGTTGAACGCGTGGTATGTGCCGGTGATTAAGTTTTGTGGTTTTGGTGGTAAAGTGGGTGGAGGGTAGACACCCTGAGTACAAGGTCAATGCTGCATGATTAACATAAAAATCGAATTGTATAACATATGTATACTTACTACTTATACTTATTACTTGTATTGATAAAGATCACTTGAAAAAGATCATTTACTTCGCTTGTTTTATATTTTACATGACAATAATAAAACTCTATATAAATAAAAATAAGCATATTTCGGAGACGGCTGGACTGAACTGAGGAAAATTTATGGATTTATGGAGAAAAAAAATTGAAAATCTTAGAAAGAAATAGACAAATTTATTAATTTTATTCTGGAAAACGAACAGCCTCTATGGGGTAGCATAGCAAAATGTTTCATATGTTAGTACTAAAAAGGTAGGCTAAGTAAAATAAAAATATTAAGCGAAACGAAGTTCGCTGGGGCATATAATATTTCGATCACAGTGACTAAACTTATGCCTCTATTATTGAGAGTAACTTATGGTTAAATAGTAAAGGAGTCCACGATGGTAATTGTAGATTTTCTTTAGCATCGCTTTTTTACAGCCTGTCATCGAGAAATTTTTTACAACCTGTGAAATGACAGCAAAAGAGGCAGGTCAGACGACAAACACATTGTCAAAAAGGAAATTCTATCGGTTTATCGATAGAAGAATAGCCAATAGATATATTCATTATCACCCAACGTTTATTTTTCGTCTTAGAAAAAATAATTTGTTTAAATACGTTTAACAATAAAGAATGCAGTTAAAAGCATATTTTCTCACGTTTAATCAAAGGTAGTTTTCTCAATATATTTCTTTATTACACAAGTAATTAAATACCAAATGTTTTATAGTGGTATAAATGGAAGCCACTTTCATACCATATTAAGTACGATGATTATAAACTTGCAAATCACAGTCGAGTCAACAATATAGTTTATCGTACAAAACTTGTCTTGACTGAAATGCTCCAGTTAACAATTTAAATAAAGTGTCGGCACGTTGCCAAAAGATCTGCAAGCGATTATAAGATTTATTCGCCTGTTTAACACAATATGTAGGCCTAGAAAGGCTTTTCAAGATTTCAGTTGGCGTTGAATTATTATTTATTATAACTGCACTATCTATACAAAAGTGACGTCTTAGTAATATATTGTTCCATACACTTGGAAAGCCACTTTAGGAAATTGAATTCTTGTAATATAGGTTAATTATATGTATTCATTTCTCGCATCTTCTCAAAGTGGCGAAGGTTTCTACAAGCCCTTAATTATCAGGGGGAGCCTGCCCGATAGCTTTGTGATAATCCCACCACCATTATTTATATATTGAGTATTTATGTGTTAAAAAAAATAGGTTTATTATGGAATATAAGATACAGGTATCACTTATTCCACGTCATTAAATTTGAACAGGTAGACATCCCTACTCATCGGCAAAAAAGACAGAGGGTGTAGGCCGAGAGAAAAAGCCGGGGTAAAAAACTCTCGGTACTCTTTTAAAATAGCAAATCATCAAACATTACTTATTTAATATGAAACAAATATCGCAAATTAATTAGAAGTAGCCTGTCTAGCACTAGCTAGTCCAGGCCCTTTTATCAACTAGATAATCGTTAACTTTATAGTAAGCCTTTTTACACAGCTTTTCTTTAATACATTTCTTAAATTTATTAAAGGGCAGAGATAATAGAGCCATGTTAGGTTTTTACATCTCACCTTCTCATATCTAGTGCAGCTTGCTCATACATACACTACATATACTATACAGATTCTCCTGACTTTTAATACATACAAATTTAACCACACATTTCTCAGTCCACGGGCTGGCAAGCTGTACAAAATCCATATTCTACGCAAAAAGATAGAATACGTTGATTCGTAGCTAACTGGAACATATGGGTGAGATTCAGATACAACTAAGTACGTATGCTCCTGTATGTCAAAGTCCAATATGTTTTTATGACGTACGAGAGTCAGACTTAGCGCTAAGTTGCGATTCTGAATCTTACCATATGTTTATGAGACTCAAAACGTATCGTATGTATTTATATATAAAAAAAGAGCTGTAACTTTGGTAACAATTTTAACGGAGTTAACACATTGATAGCCTTCACAAATCTGCTGACGTCACGAAGGCTGAATCGCAAAGGGTATATTCGTTAAATATTCAGGGCCATTTTGTGAGCAATGGTAATCCTATTAACATTTGCCTGGTACACGAAGTGCCTATTCTTGTATTAATCAAGAAAACAATAGTAGTAAAGTTAAGTTATGCAACCAATTTTGGTATAACATTTGTTATTAACTAAGCACCAAGTAGTTCAATTTGTCACGGGCTTCTTTCTCAAATGTTAATACATTTACGAGGATAATTTGAATCCATACAATAATTGTTTTAGTTTTGAATTTATTGAGGCTCATCCGACACAATTAAGGAGATACCATACTGCGTGACAATCTTTGTAATGCCTTAATAAGATTTCATACCCTACTACCGTCATCTATTCTGACCCGCCGTCGTCATGAGCAGCTCTTAATAAATAAAATAGCCTTTTATAATTTTAAATATTAAATTTAAAAACAACCTCCAAAGGAGTGAAGACCTACTTCACTTGTCTCTAACCTGCGCTAGCTAGTATCTTTCAATCTTCCCTCTATCTCTTCTTTTTTTATTCATCATCCCAGGTTTTGGTGGGCTTCCTCTCCTTCTGTCCACTGGGCCAAGTAAGGTTCTTTTTTACCCATCTCAAGTGTTCTTAATAACAAGTAATTTTAAATAAGTGTTCTAAGGTTACAAAACCTATCATATCAGGGTCTAGCGCATATACCTAGTCCAAATTCAAGGTGGTGTTTTCCATCTCTTCGTTGTGAAGAACCCGATGCTAATGCGGTATAAAGATTAGAACTAAAGACCTTAAATAAATACATAAAATAGAAAATAAAAAAGCCTATTTATTAATTAACTATAACAAATATATACACCACGCACATATTTCTTATTTATTTATTTTATTATACACCAAGAAATTAATCCTAGTCAATCCTTAGTAGTACCTAAGGACCTTTTCACAAGTAAAGGTCCATATAACTCCATATATCTCTATCCTTCACCAAGATTATATATAACATTCAATAAACTAAAGTATTAAAACAATAGATCAATACATACATATATAATATAAAAAAAAATTACGCCAAAATTTCTTCTTTGGCGTAATTTTGAGACCCTACTTTCAGGACTTTTTATAGAATCCCAACAATCAATCAACTATTACTGTTGTTCCGTGTTTACATAGAAAGTAAACAGCCACCGAACACATAACGCCTTTATGATATATTGATTATTATTTATGCTTTCGTCAAACAACGTTAAGCCTCATGGAACTCAATAAAAAATGTCAATTGTATTTGCTTTTCGCGACTAATGTTCTGTTTAACTCGAAACTGATGCGTTTAGTTGTTTGTTGAATAAGCGGTTTATTATATTTTTATACTTTGTCAAATCGTATTTCAAAAGATCTCAACTTAAATGTTACTTACTTAGATTATAGTTATCTTTGCCAAGTACTATGCATTTTGATATTTTCACTTTTACTTGTTACATTTAAAGGTAAGTCAAACGTATTCCGGTTGTAATGATATTATATTATGAGTTAGTAAATGACTCATAGTATTCTTAATGCAAATTGAAGGTAGGCGAATTTGTGAGCTTAAGTTGTAGTGCCATAAAATAACATGGGGAGATATATTATTACTTATTTTTAATAAAATAGGCTACCATTAGAGACTACTCCAATACGGTAACTATTTACATTTAAATTACATACAAAACAATTCATTTCAATCATTTTTTTTAAATTTTATATCTTATTTCCCTTGTCATATATTTTAGAACTAAAACCGTAGAAAATTTTATTATGGGATGTGGTGTGCTTTTATAAATAAACACTTTATGATAATTAACACAAAGAAACTTTAACAACAGTTTTCCGCAGGTAAAAATGTCCTATATTGAAATTTACAATGAGAACATTCGGGACTTGCTGAACCCCAGTGTGGGTCCTTTGGAGTTGCGGGATGAAGGTGGTAGTGGAGCACCCGTGGTAGCCGGACTCAGTGAGGTATATATCCGGATACAACTAAAATACTAGTACGTAGTTATTGCTAAGAAACCGTTTCAGAAGTAAGTATAATAGACCACAAGCCCATGAACAAAAAATACCTGTGAAATGACCCAACGTGAATTACGCTTAGAAGGCTGTTACTATATCTGAAAATAGCTCTGAGAACTATGCCGTCATTTCTGAGCGGTACATGTGAGTACGTGAGTGAATGGACTTTCTCAGGTACAATTGGGGAATTTCGACTAATTATTAATGTACGGCTTTGTTATAAGTGTATGGATGATTAAAAATAAATGTCGAAAAACTTAGTGCCGTACTAAAGTGATGGTACCGGAAGTCGGTGCAAATTTTTAATTCGACGATAGTTGCAGGAGCAATATAGGTCATTTATTACTGTACGGCATTTGCGTAATTCCTTTTGGACACATATACAGATACTTTACCCGTAAACGCCGTACATATTTCCAGCGGAGCGGTCGAAAGCCAAGGGTCGCAACATATGTCTGATTAGCATATAGGTGATGATGATATAGAACAACATAAAATTAAATGATCTTGAGAGTTCTTCACAAATAGGTAACATTTTCCAGCATGCCGTACATTTTTTGTGGAACACATAGGTGTATGGGGTAAATTACTTCCCTCCGAAAAAGAGTCATTTTCCGGTGACTTTTATCTGTACGGCAATAACACAGGTTATAAATACTTTAGACAATCTTCAATAAAAGATAAATGCCGTACACTTTCGATAGTCCGCTAGTCTGTGAAATGGCAGATTATACCACCGCCTACCAATACAGGGCGTCCCAAAGTTATGGGGTATGAAGGGGAAGTACCTTTAATATCGTAGATAGAGTATTTTACTAAAAGAAGACTTTATGTTATTTTTAAAAGTTAGTAATTCTACATTCAAAGATTTTCTAAAAATTACTTGCCTCGTCTGGGAATCGAACCGACTTTGATGTAAAAAAAAACCCCTACTTTTATGATGCCAATCGAAAGAATGGCCAAAAACTAATAACTCTTCTTAAGTAACATAGTATTTTAAAAGAAAGGAACTGCGTGAATATATCTTTTTTAATCAAATTAAAAACATTATCTATCGTATTCGGCCTAAAAAAAATCCCCCTACTAGTCTTGTTACTTTAGAAAAGTTATTAGGTTTTGGTCATTCTTTCGATTGGTATCATAAAAGTAGGGGTGTTTTTTTTTACATTTAAGCCGGTTCGATTTCCAGACGAGGCTAGTAATTTTTTCAAAATCTTTTAATGCAGAATTACTAACTTTTAAAAATAACGTAAAGTCTTCTTTCAGTAAAATACCCTATCTACGATATTAAAGGTACTTTCCCTTCATGTCCCATAACTTTGGGACGCCCTGTATTATATTTTTATTTTTGTTAAAAATACTTTTCCTTTACCTCTCTCTGCTCGTACGATAAGGCTGTAAATATACTTTACAGCCTTATGGTAGTATACTCAGATACGTACAGTTATTAATGACCTTAAGGGACACCTCAAACGTCGTCGAAGTTTTTATCAGGTGTAAAGAATAATCTGGAGCAAAATGTACGGCATCTGGTTTTTTTTTGTTTATTTATATTTGTTACATATAAAATAACAATAATCTTTGAAAATATTACTCCTCATATTACTTTAGGAATATTTGAAAAATCATCTAAATTTCGGAAATTTCATATATTTTTTATCATAATATTTTTATTTGTTACCATTTATAATGAACGGCTATAAGGTACAACGGTAACATTTAGTAACATTATGTAAAAAAAACAAGTTGCCGTACATTATTCTCTGATCTTACTGAAGTAATAACTCGGTAAATCCTGAAATTTCGATAAATATTTATTTACACAAATATTAACTATAATAATTTTTGGACGGCATAATTATAAAACATTATTGTCCGTGTTTAATAATATTTTGTATATGTTGCCGTACATTTTACAATGACCTTAGGGTATATGGGTGTAGGGGTAGGGTTCCGACCCTTGGCTTTCGACCGCTCCGCTGGAAATATGTACGGCGTTTACGGGTAAAGTATCTGTATATGTGTCCAAAAGGAATCACACAAATGCCGTACAGTAATAAATGACCTATATTGCTTCTGCAACTGTCGTCGAATTAAAAATTTGCACCGACTTCCGGCACCATCACTTTAGTACGGCACTAGGTTTTTCGACATTTATTTTTAATCATCTATACACTTATAACAAAGCCGTACATTAATAATTAGTCGAAATTCCCCAATTGTACCTGAGAAAGTCCATTCACTCATGTACTCACATGTACCGCTCAGAAATGACGGCATAGTGCTCAGAGCTATTTTCAGATATAGTAACAGCCTTCTAAGCGTAATTCACGTTGGGTCATTTCACAGGTATTTTTTGTTCATGGGCTTGTGGTCTATAAACATGTTACTATAGACTCGACAAACAATTTGTATTTTGAATTTAGAATCTGAGCTAATTAGTTTTTTTATGATTTATTTATTTTACAGAATACATATACAAAAATCATAACATTTGAAGCACTATGGTTTTCAGTTTGTAGTTTAAAAATAGAACATTGTACATCCGAAGCACAGCGTACATGATAAAAACTCCTTACTGACGTGACTCGCTGTAGCAATATAGAAATGTATCAGTGACGTTGCCTTAAAAAACAGTGGCACTCCAACCTTTTAGGTCTGGGCTTCACAGCCCTGGTTCGAACCTACGACCTCAGGGGTGACAGTCGCTTGAACTACTATGCCAATACTTCTCTTATGATCTTAAGCTTTCAGAAAATCGCGTGGAGCGAGAAGCTATCTGCAGTAATAACACCAGACAGCTAGTACAAGGTTTAGTTTTTGATAGATTCGAGCTACGGATGCTGCCCATGTGGCTGAGCTTTTGGCGAGAGGAGATCGATCGCGGACCGCTGAACCGACCCAAGCGAATCAACATTCGTCTAGGGGTCATGCTCTTCTCAGGTTTTTAATATGCTATTAATATAACGGTCACTTAACTATAAATTCCTATTTGATGTAGAGGCTCTTAGGGTAAAGTGACAATTTCTTTGCTCAAAACGGGACATTGGTTAAATTTAGGTCAAATAATAAGTAGTCAATGAAAACATTTTTTTTTAAATTATTTATTTAGAAAAAGTTAGTTGGTATAAACGTTACGAATCACAAAATATAGGTACCCAAAATGTTTAATTTACGTATATATTTATCAGTAGAACAAATTTGTTTAAATATATATTTAAGCTGGTGACGGTTTCAAATAAGACTGAAACTCTTGGCACGTTTTTTATTACTTATATTCTGCTGCTTAAATTTTCGCGCGCTTTCTGAAAACATGACAATTTTGCGTCCCATAGTTCATTTCGGGGTCACCGGGACTCGTAATTGGAAAAAGGGACAGTCCCGTTCAAAACGCGACGTCTGGTCACGTTATCTTTGGGGTAGACAGACGCTTTAAAGATATCGTAGAAGCCTTTTAGTTTCTTATACACAGGGAGCGCTCGCTGCACAAGTTAATTTCCTAAAACTATTTTATTATTTACGAAAGACTCCCTTCGATCAAAATTTAATGCTTAAAGAGCTAATACAAAATTAATTATACACTTTATTAGGGACTTTGACACGTATACTTTTGAAGTGAAACTTCTTTGAGCGCATGAGGGTATAATTTTATTTTTATTACGGATGAAACGCAATAATAATAATATTAGCGTCACGCAGATGTGCAGCGTTTTTGTCGAAGAAAAGGGAGAGAGCATTTATGAAATATTAGTATTTTATATTTTATGCAAAATAATTTATTGAAATCTCAAATGACGAATTGTAAATTAAAATGCCACGTGTTTTTATTATCGAAGAAATAAATTTAATAAATTAAATTTATAACATGTATTAATTTTCGACACTTTTAATATCTTAATGACGAATAAATTCATTAAATTCCTAATATATCTTCCTTTTCCCCTCCCTCTAAGTCTCGGAAATCTAAAGTTTTAGTTTTGTATAAACATGATCAAGACTTAAAAATTAGTTTGCCAAAGAAGTTTCGTTTCTTACATGTGTACTTTGTACGCACGCACTTTTTGAAGTTATACTTCTTTAGGCGCGTTATGAAAAATTGATGAGAGTGAAATTTTACGATGCGCATTACCTGAGACACAAAGTTGTCAGTGTGATTATAGCGTGCGCGAGCGAGATGGGAATAAGACAATCTACAAGTAAAAAGAAATAGAATATGCGTGACGTTAGCAGCTGTGCCAAGAATTTTGAATGACCATAATGACATTTACCTTTTAAACAAATAAAGGAGTTTTAATTGTTTTTTCAAAGAAATTTAGCAATGCTTTTTCACAAAGACCTATTGTTACTTAGTTAAAAGGTTCATACCAAGTTATTAAATTGAATGAATAATATAATAAATAATAATAGTAATTGTTATTAACATTAATTAATAATTGAATAATATACTAAATATTAAATATTATTAAATTGTTTACGTTAAATATTAATTATTAATTAATTATATTTAAAAAAAATAAAGAAAGTCAAAGAAGTATAACTTCTTACGCGCGTACATAAGTACACGCACCCTTTTTTACACGCTTTATATTAGCTTCACCTGTATCTATGTATGTATGTTGACCCACTTTAAACGGACAGATTTAATTCAAACTTTGTATACTAATAAAGAATCAGCGACAATATAATAATTTCATAGGTTTATCTCGAAAAAACAATGAAATTTTTTTTAAGTCCACAAAGTAATACGATTAAATTAAGACAACACGTATTGCTGCTAGGACTAAAAAGTGGAAAATAAATATAGTTAAAAAAAACTATAAAACACGCTTTTAGTTCGATGTGCTTTAAAAGCGTGTTTTATAGTTTTTTTTAACTATATTTATTTTTAATTAGTAGTATATTGTGTACAATACATTTTAGTAGGCGTTATATTACCAGAGTTAGTATTTAGTCTTTGTATCGTATCTTGTTAGTTTTGGTTCTACAAGAATATATTTTGGTTTTAATAGTGTGTCCATAAACAAATCGGTGTCAGCCGGTTTGCAGCGTGGCCGCCTTTTTCTCATTGACCTCGCTGGTTCTGAGCGAGCCGGTTCCAAGGCCCGAAGACTGGAAGGAGCTCATATCAACCGTTCCCTTCTTGCCCTGGGAAATTGCATCATGGCGCTTTCTGGTGGTGCAAGGTACGTCCCATACCTCGTAATATAATATTGCTATTAATTGCATTTACATTAGTAGACGCTTGTTACCGTTAAAACCATCGAACATTTCCTATTAAAATGAATAAGAGTGTTAAAGCGTAATCCTCGGATTACTGTACTATATGGATTGTTTACTGTATGCATTATTTTTCGGCGAAAATACATTTTTTCCAAGTTAAAAGGTACAAAAGGCTAAAATTTGATTATGACCAACGTTTTTTTTGTCCATAGACGGTTTAACATGTAAATAAAAATTACAGATATGTTAACTACCGGGATTCGAAGCTAACCCGTCTTTTACGGGAAGTATTGGGCGGGCGGTGTCGTACGGCGATGATAGCCCACATTTCTCCCGCAGCAGAGCATCGTGATACAACGCGTTCGACATTGCATTACGCGCAACGTGCATCTACTATCACCAATAAGGTAATATTAGAGAAGATTGTATTTTTTTTATTTTGGCTATTTTTTTTTAACTTTGTAATTGTTTTTATGCCACTAAATTTTTTTAAAAATATTCTTGCAAAGTCCCCAGAGGTAGATAGATAGATAAATTGTACACATAAAAATATTACCAGGCCATAAAAAAAACAAACACAATATAAACAATGTGCTAGAAAACTAGATTACACAATTAAAAAAGTTGTTGATGAAGGTAGAAGTTTGTCAATGTAAGCTAGTATGTTGATTTTTGTAAGAGAATTGTTAAATGTTCCATATTATAAAACACTACACAAAATAATGTAAAATTTAAAAAAAATGTACCGATTAAAATCTTAGCTGTTAAGAGTTAAGCCTATTAAAAAACAGTTGTCAAAATGACCTCCCCATGCCCCATTACGATCACACACAAAAACAAAAGACTTAATAATTCAGTGTACAAGTCATTTGCACATAATGACCGCTTCGAAGCACTATCCTTGAACTATTAAAGGGTATAAAAGTTTATTTTGTACTTGTTAACCAAACACCTTATATTGAGGAACTCATTTGTAATTGCATATGAAATTTCATATTTTTGTACAGTTTTCACTTGGTTTAATCATGTTTCTACGCTATACGCTATTCGTCAATATTTGAAAGCCCTTTTCTTATAATTTATTAGTAACCAAAGACAAATTGTTATCGTCCTTAAATTACACAAAGAACTCAAAAACAGTCATCAACAAAAATAAACTCCAAGACAGTATTAGGATTAGATAGACGAAGACATAATTTACAGCATGCTACGTTATCGTCGATTTGACTTATCTGTAACCGTTTTATGTCACGTGACTGACGTATGGTTTATTATGGATTTTTATAAATTATTTCCATCGCGCTTTTAAATCCATGTTTTATATATATATTACTCTCAATAACACATTGTTTGAAGTTGTACTTCTTTAGGCGCGTTATGAAAAATTGATGAGAGTGAAATTTTACGATTGCGCGCGCACCTATGACACAAAATTGGCAGTGTGATATAGCGAGCGCGAGCGAGATGGGAATAAGACAAACTACAAGTAAAAGAAATAGAATATGCGTGAAGCTAACTTCACGCATATTCTAGCTTAGCAGCTTAACAAGAATTTTGAATGACCATGACAATTGACATCTGACAATGACATTTACCTTTTAAACAAATATAGGAGTTTTAATTATTGTTTAAAATTAATAATTATATACCTAGTTATTTTCATTATACAAAATATTTGTGAAATAATATAAAATATTTGTGAAAAAACTGTGCTAACCTTCCTGAGTGCTTCAATACAATTGAGGTTAACTATCCGTATGTATTATCGAGTATTATTGTTGATTAAAACTGAAACATGAACCATTATTCATTGCTTTTGTTTATTGCGTTTGTTACAGCAACTTTTTTAGAAATATTCTACGACCTTAGAAATAATAATTGAGAACAAAGATTTAAGCACGAATACTAATAAGGAGAAAATGAAGGCTTGGAGCGATATAACAGAGAAGTAAACATTTTAATAAGTACCTGCATCTCAAAAAAATGACCACATTATTTAATCAAAACATCAGATTTAATCTAGCAAATATAAGAGACAAAAAACAATTGATGAATCAGTGGAAGTGCACTAAATTGAATACAAAAAAAGAGTTGTCATCTTATCGCCGTGAAACATCAAAAACTGGAGGTGGAACAAAGCCACCATCACCTTCTCGAGACACAATGGTTTGAAGTAGATTTCAATGAATTTGATTGTGATGGTGTCGAGGTAGGAATGTTAATTATAAATATGATGTATGGTGATGTTCAAGGTTCAACCTTTCAAGCATAGGCATATGCTTACAACATTACTTAATTCCCCTACAGGGTAGTTAGAGATATTGTAATACCTCAAAACATCCATGTTGCACTTGTAGTACCGAAACTCTGTCCTGCCAGAAGTGAGCCCATTCCCACTTATAATGGACAGTGGGTATAATACACCTTAATACCTGAGTGCGAACCACTCACCATGATACTTAAATTAATAGATGTTATTTATATATTTCAGGTTATTACAAATAAAATCATTTTGGAAACAATTGATATCCCAAAAGCAAATAAAGCCAACAATGACAAGGTAATAAATCAGTTTTGACATAACTTGAATACTAAAAAAAGCCAAACAAAGGTGTGCACAACAGTGACAACATAACTTAACAATTTCATTATTTTGTAGGATTAAAGAAAGGTTAAAGAAAATCATGTCGAACTGAACAACAAGAATCCCCAAACAACTCCAAAGAAACCTACAAGGAAGACACCGGTATTATATTTAAATTATCTCTATCTCTAAATAGAATAAAAGAAAGTTGCTATCCAGGTTTGTAGCATGTGCTACAAATTATATTATTAACACATTTATATAATTATATTAATATAAATGTGTTAAAAAAATTTATAATATGAATTATAAAAAATTTTAAGTTTTGCATGGACAGAGCTTAAATTAATATTCTCTTATTTGTTGCAGAAAGCAAGTAGTTTTGGAGAAGCCTCGTAGATGCACAACCAAGTAATGATTAATTTAAAATTACAAACCGAAATTCTGATGAAGACATTAGAGTCACTTAAAAATAAATAGTATAATGAAATAAAAATGTTTTAAAGATAAATAGTGTTTTATTTGTTTAATGTAAGAGAATAATAATAAATATTTATTTAATTAATTTTTCAAATGTAAACTGAACTTTATTGACTTTAATGACTCCTTTTCCAGTCTTTGATTATTTAATTGTAATTAATTATTTGCATGCAATCAAAAACTATTTTTAATAATGCCAAAGAAGTATAACTTCTTACGCGCGTACATAAGTACACGCACCCTTTTGTTTTTATACTGTTAAATAAGGAAGATGTTCAAAGGTCCGGCTACCTATTTATAAATAAATTAAAAAGGAACAAGCTAGGAGCTATTATAGTAGATGCTTTCATATAATATTAGTGCACGCAATGCTTTTCTTTTTATTTCACTGATATCTTTAAAACGTACGTACTATAAGATGATCAACCAAGACCGAGTTAGAGAGAGATAAAAAGTAATTAAAGGAGAGGTTAGGTGTTAAAGTTCATTTGTTAATAACGAAAAAAAATAATTTTCAGGTTGAACGTGAATTAGTTCAAACTCCAATGCACTTGTCGCAGTATCGCAGCGTGATTAATGAACTTCGCGAAGAAATCGCGAGACTCAAAGTCAAAATGAAGGATGACCTTTCAAGGTAAACAATAGATTATAGCCGACACGATTCCTTGAATGAATTTCAGCTTTTATTTTTTTTTAATTTAGAATTCGAATTTAGAATGGCTCGATTGTGTTGCCATTAAAAAGATGTGTGTTGCTACTACGTTTTTTATTTTTTTTGTAATTTAATATAGATCTAATAAAAATATATTACCATAGACGATTACTTTGATTGTCTTTGGTAGTACATTTCTCTTACACAACAATGTTCCTCAGTAAAACAATAGATGACAACCAACGAATCGAAGACACCAAAGACAAAGAAGAGAACACAGAAAATCTAAAATCATTGCGAGACGCAATCGTTTCAACTTTCAAACAACAGATGCGTTTGCGTAGACGGCTTATGGAGCTCGATAGTCATCTTTTAGGTTTAGCATTGGATGCAGAAAGACAGCACGCGTCTATTTCACATTGGGAGGCTCGCTTTAATAGGCTGTATAAACCTATTAGTTTAACTGGTTCTCGGCTAAGCACACAGCAAAGTTACAGGTAAATTCTTTATTAATTAGTATTACGAATTTGTATATATTACAAACTGTTGTTTCTCAGGGAATGGAACCCAGGACCGGTTATAGTATCTATTATGGTAAAGTTAATGTGGCGTTATTCTCTGAGGTTAGGCCCGTATTCTAGTTCCAACACCTAAATCTAGTTTCAAGAGCTATTAAACCGTTTTTTCTATATGAAATTTGACGTGTTAGACAGCGCTCAAAACAAGATTGTTAATCGAGATAAGAATTACAATAGGACCTAAGACCGTTGGATATTTCACTTGATTGATAAATGAATTTTATTTTTAATAAAAAAAAACATTCAAACAAACTTTTGATATACTACTACTTATTATTATTTAAAGAAAGATTAACGTTTTCTCAAGATACCATGAAAATGATAATTTCTCTTTTTTGTAGTTTCGATAAATTTATAAATAGCTGAATTTAAAAATGTTTTTATAAATATTATTAATTATCAATTTTTAATATAATATAATATATTGCGCTGGCGCAGCTACCCAAAGAAACTTAGCGTCCGAGACAAGAGAACACTATCTTCTTTTTTATACATTTAGATTATAATTTATATTCTGAAGTGTAAATTAATTCATGAGAGGTGTGACGGGGATGTCAAGCGGGAACAGCGAGCGGGCGGAAGCGGAAGTAGCGGTGGAACAAGCGTGGGCGGAACTAGCGGCCGTTGAAAGAGAGCAAGAAGCCGCAAGGTCCGAAAGGGATCGAGTTGAGAGGCTTTTAGAACAAGTCAGGCTTCGCGGAGCCCAGTTGGAAAAGGTACTACTACCGTGTCCGTTTCTCAGTAAGAAAATATTATTTTATAAAATAACTAGCTGCCCCCTCGAACTTCATTCCTCCCTAATGCCTAGCCTACCTTTTAAGTACATACCAACATGGAACATTTTGCTATGCTACCCCAGAGACTGTTCGGTTTTCCAGAATGAAAAACTTTTTAGGTTTTTCTGTGATTTTTCTCTATATAAACCTCAGAGTTCAAGTTATAAGTTCTTAAGTAACAAATCAAAATAAGGGTTGATCGTAGAGGGTAGATGAAAATAAAGAGTTGTATGTATTTTTGTATGCTGTATCATAAAAAAAAATAAAAAAAATATTTTGGGGTGGACAACACTTAGGGGTTTGAATAATAGATAGTAGCGGATTCTCAGACTTACTAAATATGCATAAAAAATTTAACAAGAATTGGTCGAGCCGTTTCGGAGGAGGTATTGGAACGAACATTGTGACACGAGAATTTTATATATTAGAAGATATAACATTTTTTATTTATACCTTACCTTTAATATACCTTATTTTAAGTTTTATAAATTGTATTCTAATTATATTATATTATATTATATTATATTATATTATATTATATTATATTATATTATATTATATTATATTATATTATATTATATTATATTATATTATATTATATTATATTATATTATATTATATTATATTATATTATATTATATTATATTATATTATATTAACACATACCTCCTACAATTATTAAAAAAAGATCTTACAAAATTGAGAATGATCTTACAAACAGAACCAAAACCTTTTACACTGCTTAAATTAAAAAAAAAACTTTGTACTAATCCATATGTTGAATTTATATGACGAAAAAATGCTATTGTTTCAAACATATTTGAAGATTGGTATTTAAATGATAATGTATCATTCCAATGGTAAAAGTTTCAAATCGGTCCAATTTCTGAAATATTGTTACAAACTAATAAATAATCTATTTATACGTTCAGTATTTTTACGATTTGGATCTATAGTCTTTTTTTTTATTTTTATAATAATACTCTCTACGCCACTGCCATTGTGTCCAGGGACTTTTTCTTTCTCTTACATTTTTGCTACTTTATTCATAAATTAAAATCATACTCATTCATGTTACGCGTCTCGCGACACACGGCCCTGGCTAGATCGGTAATACTTGTATTATTATGTATTTACAATATTCATGGGCGAGCCGGATCTATAGTCTATAGATTTATATTTTAGATTTAGTATTTCATAGGAACTTCCAGCCCACATAACAAGTGGCCCAGAGCGCGAAGTGCTATCCCTAGTATGCAGAGTTCATGAGTTAGAAGCAGATAAACTAGCGTTACAAGGCGAAAGAGCAGCGCGTGCGCATGAATTACGGAGACGCGACATGGCTTTACAAAGAAGAGACGCCCAAAGACGACTCACTGATGAGATTATTACCAGGCAACGAAGGATACTCGAAGGTATCGTTATTCATTATTAGAAAACAGTTTAAATTACTAAAAATCTTGTTTCACGCCTGAATCTGCATAAAATATTACATAAGCGATTTTTCTATTATCTCTATATCTCGTTATAGTGCGGTCGTACAACATACATAACACTCGTAATATCTTCTACGTAGAATTTTATTTATTTATTCACTTCGTTACCTTAAAGCTTAAACATTCATTTAAAACCAGGTTTCATAAATTATTAGACAACGTTTTATCGTTAACAAACTACGCTACTAAACTAAACACAAAGAAAATAAAAGCTAATCTTAGTGTTAATTAATCATAATTTATATATATTTATACACACACATATATAAATAGCTAATTACGAGGCAGAAGAGAAATTAAAAATTTAAGCTTTAGTAATCATTTGAAGCAAAAATAGCAAAAACAACTGTATTTAAAAAAAATTTACGGAATTAATAGTAATTAATTATCAATGAACCTAGTAAATACAGTATCTTTTTAGCAATATTCAAAATCAAAAATCAAAATCAAAATTCGTTTATTCAATTTAGATGCTTCTTAGAGCATGCTTATGAATGTCAACAACGTTTACAAAATTCACGAAAGAGCAAGACTACGCCATCCGTTCACAAAACTACCAGGAGGCCTTGTTCTGAGAAGAACAGGCAAGAAACTCAGCAAGTTTGCCCTCCCTTTACATTACAATTATTCAAAGGAAAATGTCATAAACCAATATTAAAATAGTAGAAAACAATATGCTCTTCACAAAATCTATGCAAAAATTATTTAGACTTTCGTCAACTACTTTTAGGTTTAAAGTACAAAGTGATTATTTGTTATTGTTGACTTAATATAGAGGCAGGCGTTGCAGTTCAGTCTGACTTGGGTCAACTCTACGAATTATATCAACAAGAAATTCATGCATCGACTTACACGGAGACCAGTGATCTGTACACTCCATATCGTCTACCACCTATTTCCTCAAGGTATTTAATGTTTAATTGGTTAGTATATTTTAATATCTATAGAAAGACAATTAAAAAAAAAGTGCGTGCGTACAAAGTACACATGTCAGAAGTAAAACTTCTTTGGCAAACTAATTTTAAGTCTTGTTCATATTTATACAAATCTAAAACTTTAGATTTCCGAAACTTAGACGGAGGGAAAGGAAGATATGTTAGAAATTTAATGAATTTAATTGTCGTTAAAATATTAAGTGTCGAAAATTAATACAAATTATAAATTTAATTTTTTTATTTTATTTCTTCGATTACAATTCGTCATTTGAGATTTCAATAAATTATTTTGCATAAAATAATAATATTTCATAAATTCTCTTTACGAAATTTTAAATAGTGTTTTGTCACGTTTATTTGCTTGCAAAGGGATAAAGACAGAATATTATATTGCGTATTTGTGCGTTTTCTGGTTTTATATAATAAATGTATATAAAATTATAAAAGGCTTTTGCTTTGGAATTACTACATTAGAGTCAAATTATGTCAGGGTAAGATTTTCTTGTAGCATTTGCTGCACTCAAGTGACCTGCGATGCAAAGAAAAAGTTATAAATGTTAGAAAAAAAGCAAAGGTTTGTTATGAGTGTGATTTAAGATGAGCAGTGTTGGCCTAGTGGCTCCAGCGTGCGACTCTCATCCCTCAGGGATCGTAGGTTGATCGTAGTCGTCGTAGGTTGATCCCCGGCTGTGCACCAATGGACTTTCTTCCTGTACTGCGCATTTAACATTCGCTCAAATGGTGAAGGAAAACATCGTGAGGAAACCGGCTTGCCTTAGACCCAAAAAGTCGACGGCGTGTGTCAGGAACTGAAGGCTGACTTGCCTATTAGATTAACAAATGATCATGAAACAGATACAGAGATCTGAGGCCCAGACCTAAAAAGGTTGTAACGCCATTGATTTATTTAATAATCAAGATTTATGATAAAATTCCTTGAACCATTCTAGTATGTCAGAGTTGACCTGGTCCGAAAGTTCAAGTGGGTCCGGTCGTGGGTCAAGTTCTGGGTCTGGAGGGACTTTGGGATTGGGATTAGATCGTTTGCCCAGACTGGCCCCAACACCACGCCCGCGCACTAGATACAGGTCAGTTTATATCGAAATACCGAAAATTAGAACTGATTCCTGGTGTCAGGTAAGACATGAATTTCCATAGCAGATCGGCCTGAATTGAAAAAAAAAACGTCTTCTTGGCTGGTTCCATGAGGATAGTGAAATATGTACTGACCATTTCAGTCACTTATATTATAAATAATAACGTATTTACAGTCACGCAAGCGCCACAACACTTAAACGTTACTCAAGCGATGACAGTATAGTGATGGCGCCTCCGCGGAACAACGATAATAGCAACCCTTGAGTATAACTTGTATCTCCTGCCAATTGATCAAGACAAAAACTAAAGGATATAAAATAGTTGAAATAAATCCTTTAGTTAGTATTTTTTATCTTGAAAACTCGAAGGAGGATTGCAGTTCGACGTCTATGTCAGAGATAGAAGGAAATAATATATAAACACGTATTGTAATTGTAAAACTAGATCAATTTATTTACAAAATTATTATTATTTTACGTGTTGTGAAAAGAATTGATTTTATATATAAGACACTGATTAGATATATCCGTTGGTAGTTTTTAAATATTATAAAGTGTTGAACGCTAAAGGAATTTTAATAAGAAATATTATTAATTTTGACACATTTTAGTTACTTAAATTTTTACGTGTGCTAATTTTTATTCTAAGGTTTTCTTTAATAAAAAACAAGAATCAGTATTTGCTTTCATTTCGATTTATTATCTAATTCATAAACGTAATAAAAACCTCAATTAGTTCAATAATGTTTTGTTTTATGGAAAAGTACAAGAAGATTTAATAGTAGTTTATAGAACATTTTTTAAAATAATAGGGTTAATAAATATGTACTTACAGTTAGTATTATAACACGAGAGATTCGTGGAACATAAATAAATATTAATTAAACATTATTCGCTATAAAATCACTGCTTAAAATTAAATAAAAATTTAATCAAAAATATTTCTTTATATTCTTATTAACCTACTATCTTTTTATAAATTAATATGAATATCAAGGAGAACCTAATTATAAACGACTTCATTGAAAACTTAATAATGACTTAATAAAATCTATGATATTCAAACTGTGACTATATCGCTGAGATTAAACTAAATACAAAAACTGCTACAAATATTTCAAGCATTTTTAGTGCACTTAGAAATTACGTCGCTTATCGGCCTTATATCTAAAGGCCATTCAAAGGAGCAGGGTGTTGAGACTGAAAAATAAAAGACAAGACGAAACATTTAACACATAACAATTACAAACGTTATCATGACATATCATGTCGTAAACCATGGAACGGACTTCGCAATCTATTCGTCTATCGTTTTAAAATCTCAACCCGTGACCTTATTGGGGCCCATTTACGATCGACATATTTAATTTTCGATATGTTTTAAAGACAATAGACAAACGTCCAGTAAAGTATATTAAAACATAAGAATAGTAAGGGAAATAGAACTCTAGAGCGTTTATCGATCCAAGCAGCAATTTCCTTGGGCGTCATCTCTGTCCATGTATGATGCGGTGGCGGCTCATCGGAGTTTTCACTACCGGAGTTAAGGTGTCGCCTGCCTGGTGACTGTCTGGTGTTTAAATCGTCGTAGCTCTCTGTTGTAATTGTTGGCACGTTTATTGCTGATGGGAAGCTCTGAAAACGATAGGAAATAATAGTTGATTATTGTTTATCTAACGCTTTTGAAAATACGAATGTCGAATAAACAACATTTAATGAATTTAATCGCAACTAAGTTGACAATCGACGTCCACAGGATGTCGTAACTCAGAAAGGAAATAAATAATTAATCACTCTTTTAGTTTACGAAATCAGTTAAAGAAGGCCTAGGTTAAAATTTGCTTTAGATCTAAAATAGTTTATATCAAACAAAATCATTAATTGGGATTGATTCATGCTAAAAAATAAATAAAACTTTATTAGTGGATGACTAGATATAAAATGCTACAATAATTATGGGTAATCAAGGACGTACATGAACCGTTAGATAATTGTTGTATCCCATTCCTGCTGGATCATTATTAGTATCCTGGGACAGTGAAGAACATGAGCGAGACTTGCTTAGCTGTGGTGATGATTCTTCTATCTCTTTCTGGAGAGCTTTACGTGCCAGCCGCGGAGTTAACGTACTCTTTAGTATATATTTACTGTTGACTTTCTTCAAAGGAGCAACACTCCTAGAAATTATCGAAAATATTTAATAAGTGTGCATGCTGTTCGATTGTATTGTCTGGAAATGGGAAAATATAGGAGCAATCGAACAAACACAAACGTTTTAAACCACGCAAAATTTAAAAGTATAATATGTATAAATTTAAAGAAACAACTTTTTAACAGGATTAAAACTCCGGGGAAATAAATACAGATAATGCAACTTCTAGAACTATCTCTACAGCTGTGATACTTTTTTGACATCCAACACCTTTTGTCTTCAGTCACCGTGACCACGCACGCTGTAAAGCACGCGAAACGTCGGATAAATTTAAAATTATGTTAAATAATTGTAAATTTATAATAATACATAACTTTAATCCGGTTAAGAAGTTTTTTCTTTAAATGTGTAAAGGTTATGTCAATAAAAGACAATAGTATAATATGTAGGTAAAAGCAGAATTAGAATGTAAAAAAAATACATACTTCCTGTAGAAAATAGTGTTGACGAATGCGAATTCAACAAGGGCTGCGAAAATGAAACCAGTGCAGCCTAAGAACCAGATTTCACTTGCTTTGATGTATGAAACCTTTGGAAGAGTTTTAGCTTGAGATGATGCCAGAGTGATAAACGACAACATGGTACTTGTACCTGAAAATATTGTATTAAGTATTAATAATAACAAATGAATGTAATACAAAAGAGCAAAAATATCTATTAATTAAAATTACAAGGAAATGTGAAATTGGTCTATCAAATTATAAAAAAAATACTAATTGTCAAAAGTTCAAAGCTGAGAACGCGTACGAATATAATATAAGATACACTATATCATTATTGTATATGTCGCAGCCAACTGGCTTAATCAAGCTAGTTAGAACGGCTAATTAGCCGTTCAATTTACAGCCTAGCTAACTAAACGGCCTGAAAGATATTCAGCGGTAGCGTTTATTACAACACTTAATAAACTGGCTCGCTAATGCTTAGGCCATTCATATATAGATAGAGTCATTATTTAGCAGAAATAAAAAAGATAAAACATTTTTCCATGTTTAACTTACATAAGGTAGTAGAAATCAAGGCGGCAGTTACATAATTTTTTGCTTTAAGGTGACAAAACATTTGTTAATAAAACATACCCAATGTGATTCGTGGAGGTGAAGCATCAGCTTGCAACCAGAATGAGACCCATGACATGGCTACGATCATCATTGAAGGGATGAAATAATCCATTAAGTAGTAACCGACCTCTCGGCTTAATTTGAATGTAAATTTCAAAGCACTGTAGTTACCCGCTGAAAAAACAAAATCAGTATATATCAATTTCCTATGTACTAGCAAATTTCTCTTTCTTTCTCTTCTCTCTAAAATTGCTATAGGATCAGAGCTTCTGTAACTTCTGGTTAGTTGGGTCAGTGTGATATCAGCGCTATTGAGAAAACTATGTCGAACTTACATCGCATCGGTATAAAAGTTACGGAGTTCGCAGTTTGCGAGTGTGATATAGTTTTTAATTTTTATTTTTTATAAAATTATATTAGAATACATAGCATGTATACCTCCACCCAATCTCATGTTAATTATATCTCCTCGAACAACAGACTCATTGGTCCAATAGTCGAGCAGAGAGTATTCTGTCAAATGCAGCTCTGAAGATAGCCGAACAGGATTATCAACCTCCCACATCAAGCGTAGAATGGACGCGTTGTAGTTCCCTGTAATTTCAAAATGAATAATTTATAGAAATTAAATTGGTCTATATGCACTATTTTGGTTATAGTAACTCTGTCTTTTTTTCTGACAAAATGTGTTTATACTGTGGTCTGTGACACAGATGAGAAGTTTAGTGAAAATGGTATCATTATTTATCTTAAAGTGCTTCTTATTCTGCCGTCGTGTTAAGCATCTCTTGCTTGCTCCACATTCGAAACTTAATTTTGTCGTATTCGCGGAACCAAAGGAAATATTACAATAAATGTCGATTACCTGCATTGTTCTACAAATTTTGAATTAGATAAGAAAATTTGTATAAGAAGCTTGTAAAACCCAAGTTTTACAGAAACCGCAAACAGAACAAAATGTTAGCTTCCCAAAAAATGAGGTTTGCTCAGGAGAAATGTTCAGAGGTCCAAGCCGTACTATATACAATAATATACAATAAGTATTTTAGTTTGTGAAGCTTAAGTAACTCACAGCTCTCTAAATTCAGAGAACATGTCTGCACATCAAATGGAAATTTCTGAAGGTTCATCCAGCAATACAGAACACCCTGCATCCGCCGGCTGAACAGCACTTCTCCATTTGGCGCTATCGATATAAGCACATCCTTCCTACCAGTACCCATCAAATTGGACGATTGTTCGTTAGGAATGTATAAGTGCGGTGCCCAAACCCGAGATCGGAGGTCGTCTTCACCAATAATCTTCTCCCTTTCTGGGGAATACGGTAAATAGGCCAATCTTGGATCTGTCCATCGCAATTGAAGAAGAAAGTGTAGCTTAAAGTTCTGTAAAAAATAATTTTCATGAGTCACTTTTTTAACTTTAATTTGGTTTACAAAACTAAGAAAGTGTTTCCTTAATGGCTTGAGCGTACGCCACTCAAAACGGAGGCAGATTTTATGTGCGTTCAAATCACGGCTCTGCTCTAGTAATTTTTTATTTCTATATCCGCATTTAGCACTCATACGGGGAAGGATCATCTTAAGCGGGCCATAGACGGACCGCATGTTGCAGTAAGACCTTTAGGATACCGGCATATCTAAGACCTAATGAACGCATGTGACCGTCACAGAAGGCGCCTTTTCCTATTAATAAAACAGATACAAAAATGTGAGGCTAAGACCTAGAAGTTTGTAGTGTCACTGTTTTTTTTTCTCTTAAACCATAGACAATATCATAAACAAGTTATCCAATGAAATCCGTTACCAAGTATCCTCCAAGACCAATTTGGTGATTACGTTATGAAAGGAATTTTAAGTTATTAATAATAATTATTCTTAAAAATTAAAAAAAATATCACTGGGCCTCATATTTCTGTATCTGTTTCATGATCATTTGTTAATCTAAAAGGCAAGTAGGTGATCAGCCTCCTGTGCCTAACGCACGCCGTCGACTACTTGGGTCTAAGGTATGCCGGTTTCCTCACGATGCTTTCCTTAACCGTTCGAGCGAATGCGCACATAGAAAGAAAGTCCATTGGTGCCCAGCCCGAGATCGAACCTACGACCTCAGGGATGATAGCCGCACGCTGAAGCCATTAGGCCAACACTGCTCTAATAATTATTATTATATTTAATGTATTTACCAAATCATGAGCATCAGCTGGTTGAATGACGTATATATAAGCACTGGCGTGAACATAGACAACGTCGCGGGTTTCATAGGTCGGCAGTAGGAGGTGGTCGTAGCGACACGTGTGAGCAAGCCGGGAGAGAAACTCCGATTGTGTGTATGTATCTCCATTGTCCAGGGACGGACAATCTAGATCGACCCTGAAACATCACTAACCTATTAATTTATCCCAAAAGAACAACAAAATAACTTTGTTAATTAGTTGCAAAAATTAGTGAAATCTGCTACGTAGCAGCTGATGTTGAGTCTCGGATGTTGGACTCCTCCCTTCGAAGGCACTCTCCTTAAAGTCATAGCCCGCATCGGAATACTGGGCGTTGACATATCGAATTGCGCCACGGCTTCCCCATGAATATGAATATTGTAAATAAAACAAAAATGTGTGCGTGTACTAGGTGTACACACGTAAGTGAAACTTCTTTATGACCTTATTTTTCGAAAAATTATCTACTACATATATGCAACTTAACGAATTTGGTTAAATAAAGTTTAACAAAAGGCTTTTATTATCATAGACATGAATACAAATACAATTATTTCATTTTACCTTATTACTACTAAGATTATTACAGAATTTCATTAATTGTAATAGAATTATTACTATCATTTTTATCGTTATTATATATTTTTGTTATTAATGGCTTCGAATCTCTTCGGATCAACCGTGGTAGGGACAAGAAAAAGATGGCGCGTAACCGAAAAACGTAACGATTTGCTACAAAATTTGTCCCATACGTCGATAAAGAACTTTCATTCCAACGCCGATAAAGAAGTTTGACTTCAAAAAGCAACATGGCGCGTAACCGAAAAATGTGACGCGTAACGAAAAAATATTACACAAATTTTTTTTCCAACCCCGATAGTTTCGAAGTATCACTTCAAAAATATTAAAAATATGTATTACCGCCGGCATGTAGCCGGGGCGTATTTCGCGAGACGCGTAACACACCATTCGTGAACTAGTGTATGTATTGGAATTAATATAATGTATCTTGTTTTTTGGAAAAATTTGAGAGATTAAAAAAGTCCCTGGATTTTTATGTTTTTCCTGTTGCATTTTGAAAATAATCTTTCATTTTTAATACCATTAAATCCGTAACAGCAATAACCCTTAAAAAGTAAAACTATATAGCCTTTAATAAATCCATAAAATTTGTCATCTGCTCATAATCTCCACATATTTTGGCGATGAGTCGTTAAATATGAGTTATCTCGATAATGCGAAGATTACAATGTATGATTATCTCTATCTCAGTAGTATAAAACTCAGGTTAATTAAATGTTATGAAATAACACGTTTTAATTGAATGTTAAATATATATTCTCAAACACATTATAGTTCTGTCGTTGTTTTGATCATGTTTTTTGTTTTTTATTAATGACTGGACTGGCAATTGGAGATCAAATATTATGGTAAAATGACGTTCCTTATATATGAATCCTAGTTATTAATTTAGTGTTAAATAATAATAGCAATCAATCATATAAAATACATGATTTGTCGGTAAAATACTACTATTCGTGGGATTTGACGGCTCGTAAAAGCCGATATTACGTAACAACTTAACTTCGCTTTTAATTAATCACACATAATATGTACATGTTAAAAAAAATCATTGGCTCTACAACCTTTTCAGGTCAGGCCATCAGATTTCAGTATCTGTTTCATGATAATTTTCTTTTCAATCTAATAGGTGATCAGCCTCGTGTGCCTGATTTACGCCGTCAACTTTTTGTATCTAAGGCACGATGATTTCCTTCACCGTGCGAGCGAAAGTTAAATGCGCACATAGAAAGAAAGTCCATTGGTGCACAGCCGGGGATCGAACCTACAACTACAACTACACTCAACTACATCTCAGGGATGAGAGTCGCACGCTTAAGCCACTAGGCCAACACTGCATACATACATACATACATGTTACCGACCTATTTAACCTACGTTTAACCAGATATTGAAGTGTATTATTAAAAAAAAGAATAAAAAGGATTAAAAAAAATATATAATAGTAAGTTTAGTTCTTAAAAGAAGACTTCTTAATCAATTTGAAAAAAAATTTATATAAACAAACATGTTGTTATGTATGATATACGGTTGCCAAACTTGGGTGTTCATAGCAAAGTTTAAGCTTAAGATTATATCAATTCAAAGAGAGATAGAGAGAAGTATACTAAATATAAAGAACATACACAAAGTCAATATATTAGACAAAAACTAAAGCAACCGATGCCCTTTCACATGCAACATCATGCCAGCTTTAAAAGTAAAATGGCAATGGGCTGGTCATGTAACACGAAACGTAGACCACAGATAGACATAGACAACACAATAGAAGGGAAAAGAAGGTGGGCAGGCCAAGCAGGTGGGCTGATGACTTGATAGAAATAACAGGAAAGGACTGGCAGACTATTGGTAAAGTTAGAGACATCTGGAGACGGTTGGAGGAGGCCTTCACCCAAGAGTAACCTACCCATAGCCACAGGCAACTAACTTATTACTACTAACATGTAGCTATAAGCAAATGCTAACAACAATGGAAATTAAGAATACGCAAATAAAAAAGGCTTTATTATTATATGTTATAAGTTAAGTTATTTATATACGCATTTTTTCGAGATTTACTCATATTTATTTTCATATACTGTCCCTGATAAAAATGTTACCAAAAAGTACATAAAAGATTTGCTCTTTGATTAACGATTAATCTGCTCATGTATAATTATAGAATATATATACCTTATCTTTTCGTTATCAAAGCCTAACATTACCATTGTTTGAAGTATATAATAAATGTGTCTTAAGGTAATATTTATTTAAGATTATCTCGGTGTATGAAAAACATAGGTAAAATTATGTAATGCAAGCCTGCTACATGAAGTGGTTTGAAATCCTGTGACCTTCAATGACACATTATTAATAATAGTAATTCTACGATAATCTAATATATGAAATTCTCGTGTCACTATGTTCGTTCCCATACTTCTCCGAAACGGCTCGACCGATTCTTATGATTTTTTTAATGCATATTCAGTAAGTCTGAGAATCAGCTACTATGTATATTTTAAACCCCTAAGTGATAAGGGGTTTACACCTCAAATTTAATTTTTTAGACAAAATTTCTGTTTTTATTTTTTTATGATACAGCTTACAAAAATACATACAACCCTTAATTGTCATGCCCTCTCTTTTTTCTATCCATGACTTTCTTTCTCCATTCACTTCCTGCTAATATAACGCTTATATTTCTTCTATTCATCTTTTTCTAGGTCACCCTCTTCCCCTCTCCCCCCTGTCCTTTATTGTCTTTAAAATTCATATTTTATCTGTGCATCTTGCTGTGTCATATGTCAACGTTTGGCAGCTACTATAATTATCATTTATCCGGAAATCAAAACCAAAGCCGGCTGTGTGTAATGGCTTACAGCGAAACCGAAAGCGATTTACATTTTACACTTTAGTGACAGGTAATAATTAAAACTTTCATATAGAAAACCCTACGCTTAAGTTATTAAATATTGCGGAAAAGATTGTAAATAAGTTACATACATTATTTATAGAGCATTTAAAAACAGTAAATCAACTGTTTGAACGATTAACGTCCATTTTACAACTGCAATGACGTAACGTAATATCAATCTTACGCGAGACGTCACGCGGATAACTTTCGTAAGGCGTAATTGAGAGGTAATTTTTATCAGGACCTTGAAAACCCCTAACGATATGATAATAAGGAAGTATACTTTTTTAATTCTTTTAGAGATTTAAAATATCTTGTATTTGTTCGCTAAGTCTCGACTAAGATTATTGGCTGAGATTCAGAAACGAGACGACTTGACTATACTCCCGATAGCCAGACCTGACCGTCTTGTTTCTTAATTATTCTTACCCTTAGATTGAGGGTTAGTCTGGACTCATAATGTTACCCTTAGAGCTTACCCTCACTACGTTACTATATCTTTTTCTTTACAACAAACTAAAAATACTATCTTACACCAAGCAACTCTTATACAAATATGATAAGTGTTTAAACGATGACAAATAAAAATAACATTTATGTCTAAGTCTGTTTTGATAACCTTCAGAAGACCATAAAAAATCGCGTGAGGTCTTCTGCAACCACACTGATGGATTTGGGATGTACCGACCCTTAGGTCTGCCCTGCGATTCTGTAACTCACTTTTCGAACTCACACAGCGGTTTTCGCATCGGCGGTCGCTCTCAAATCAGTCGTGAAGCAGTAATTTTATGATTTGGCTTTCTGAAAAGCTGGGAGCTTGTAGTTTATTGTTTATCACAATGCCAAATCATAAAATTACTGCTTCACGACTGATTTGAGAGCGACCGCCGATGCGAAAACCGCTGAGTGAGTTCGAAAAGTGAGTTACAGAATCGCAGGGCTGCTTTTAAAAACTAATCTAACATGCCTAAAAACCTTAATCTTCAAAACCTACACAATCTTAAGTTTGCGATCCGCCATTCCTAACTGTTTTAAGGCAAAAAAAATTGTAGTTAGGTGTTCACGAAATAGGGCGGGAGAGATTGATTGTAGAATGCAAAACCTGCTTTTAAGTAAACATTTTATCTTATGTATGTACGTATATTTGATAGTTTTATTCTTGGCAATTGCATTAAGTGCTGAAAATAAAAGAGTGGCGGAGAGTTTATTGCCATTTCTTTTCTTCCGTTCTACGCCCTTGATTTGAGAACTGGCAGTAAATGTAAAATAAGAAGCATTTCATATACTCGTATATACATATATAATTTTTTTTGACGTTTATAAGTGTACATTGCGTTACCTATATGAATAAATGATTTTGACTTTGACTTTGCTGCCTGTCTTGTTTAGTAGGAAAAGCCATTGAAGTGGTTCACATTACTCTTTAACCTGTAGCAATAGTCTGGTGAAATAATCGAATATTGTACATCTAATGCCTATATGAATGACCTGTACCTACTAATAGTTAGGAATTGATTTATATTAAATTAAACATATCGGTAGTAAAATAAAAAATATTTCAGCCTTTGTTATTTTTTATTTAAATAAGGCACCTCTGTTGATTATGTTCCTTAACATATTGCATAGTATAAATAGAAATATAAGCAAATATAACAAGGAAGGGCCTTCGTACAAATTTTTACAAGAACCAGTGTCTGTTTTATCGCCAACCATTTAATTTCACACATAGACAAAATCTATAATATACAATTAAATTACATGATTTTTACTTTTAGCACGTTTGTGGTGCCCACTTGGAAAGGTAATCCTTATTATGTCGTGGCCATGCAACAATAAATAAATATGTTTATTTTTATTTTATGCACATGATTTTAAACTTTATAAAGATCCATAAAGAACTAAAAAGATCTAAGTCTATGGGCCGTTTATGACGCTTTATGATTAATAGAAAATAATAATATATTATTAGTATATCAACAACAAAAATTACATTATACTGCATCATATGATGCGTAGGAGGGTCGATAAAGACTTCTACATATTTTTCTAGATATTCATATTAATTTGTCTAATGAAAGATAATATTCGTTGGTAATAGAATAATTCAACCAATTTATTATTTTTATTTTTAGGGGATTTCTAGTTCCCTAAACATATAATCGTTAAATAATATAATTTATGAAGTTTTATAAAAAAATATATTTGACTACGTGAGATTTTTTATTTAAATAAAAAAGAAAAATAATACTTACGTAGTATTTTGACCCGTTGTATAATCTATGAACAAAAATGAAAGAACACAAAACAAAAAGGACTCTCATTTTTAATACACTAGGAACTATGCGCACGCCTCGCTAATTGTGTGCACAGGTCGATCAATTAACCGCTACTGTAAAAAATTAAGATGACTGTTACCTTTGATAGCTTATCTATACGAAAGCATAGTTAGAAAAAACTGTAGACAAGTTATAATGATGACGTAACTGTATTAACAAATAATAACATTGTAACTGAAGAAACATATGTCTTTATCTCTACTACGCTTTATGCGGATATAAGCATAATTAAAGTTTTAGTTACAAATTAAATTAAAAAAAAAATTGACTTATATGACGCGACAAAGATGTATTCGGCGGCCAGCCGGGCAGATTCTTGTATATTACTGGTGAACCATTACGTGATGAAATAAGCTATAGATCTCTAAACTGAATCGAGTATTCAAGGCAATCATTCATTCAGTATTTAGCATCAATACTGGTTTTATTTTACTTATTTTAAACATCCTTCATCTTATGTTCTTAACCTTTTTTTTATCTCTAGCAATATTAAAAGCCTTAATTAATTGGCCTAGAAAATAAGCACAACACTGTTATGACGAAACAATTACATTCAATATCAATACACAAAACTTAACATGTTGCCGACGTAATATGGTACGCTTTCCATGTTTTTATGTATAACTTGTATATTGCACTTGTAGAAAGCAAGCATTAAATTGAACAACTTAAAGAATTGAAAGAATTAAGTTTTTGTGTCCTCACTACCGCGAAAGGATATGTAATAACAGGGCTCTTACTCTGAGACCGAGACAGAGAGTAATTCAGACGCTTTATCCAATACTTCAGCTTGTTTATCAGCTGTTGTTGATTTTTTCTTCTTTGATTTTGGAGGTAGCTGCATCCTCCCTTGAGGCATCTGGCTTCCAATTTTTGTTAATAGACAAAAGACGATCGAGTACTGCGTTTCTTTTATATTTGTTTTTGTAGTGGGCATTTGTGACATTGCACAACTCCTGTATTTCCAACAGTTGGGTTTCAAACAGTTGAATAAACTCGTACATTGTTCAGACTCTTCTTTAGAAGATCGTGAAGCCGCACGCAATGTTTCATCATCACACATATCTGCAGTTCACAAAGATAGATTACGTACTGACGATATTAACAACACGCTCACACACGGCCAAAACCAATATGCAATCTCAATCCTATTTTAGCTGTCATGGACTGACAATTCAATCGATTTCTAAAGAAAACCATGCCAATATTAAATCCATGGACTGAAATACCAATCTAATTATTCAACCAATCGTTCAGAGGGCGGATAAGAGATTGAAGATTGCCCTCTGTATGAAAATGAATGTTTACTCATGCCAACAACCTATCTGTCCATTTTGACAATTGCTTCGATTGGCCAAATCAATCTCGGATTGCTATCGGTGAAACTCGTATGATTTGGGTTTGGGATTGCGACCTAACTTAATATTCATTGGGAAAATTTATTCATCTTCGTCATCTTCCAGTTCTAGTGATAGTGATTTGGAAGTTTAAATGCAATTATCCGATTGGGATAGTAATTCTGAAGCTGGAAGAAGACAACGTACTTCTGTGCGAAGACATAAGAAGACAAGAATTAATGATGATGAACCAGCTAATGATATTGATCAAAGCGCAATTGACAACGTGGGAAATGCAAGTGTGCGAAGTAATCTTATAAGTGATTATTTTGCTTTATTACTATAATATTTTATAAATTACAACATTTTTGAGATAAATTAAATAAAAATTCAATGCTTTTATTCAAATAACAATACAAATTTTTAATACAATACATCCTTGCTCCAGGCATAAAATCTATTATTTTTCTAATTTATTTAACAATATATTTTTTTCTATGGCCCATAATTCTCTTTTATGCTCTCTTGCTTCCTCTTCAAATGCCCATTGCTTTCTCTTATTTAGAAGCTCTTCCTTTCAATTGACTTTCAATTCCTTCGACAGACAACAATATCATGTCTTTGACTTTTTCCTCGATAGGGGTAAGAGGAGTACGATATGTTTCAGCATGTATCAAGGCAGACTTTTTTCTTGTAGCCCTCTTTAAGCTTTAGCACTGCGAAAGTTTACCCCACTTGTGCTATTAAACAGCGCCTCCAGCGTCTTCCAGCACTGCTCTTTCTCCTGCCAGGTGACTGAGTCACTCTTTTATTTTCTAATATATTTTTATGGTCAGCAACAAGCGAAGTTAGAAGGTCAACTTCTTCCCGGCTGAAATTGACGCTTCTTTCACGTTTTTGCGCAGACATTTTTTTAAGTTAAAGAACCAACCTCGTATCACAAAAACAACATACACAAACTACTCAGAGAAAATTTATATTTGAAAGGTAAAGCCGAAGGCGCCGAACTAAAATATATACTCAAATACTCAATAACCTAACAAACAAAAATACCATATGAAAATGACAGCCCGTTTCGTTACAAGTAATATTAAATGACCAACAAAAAGGTTAAGGTTCTATGTTTTTCTATAGAATTTTGTAACTTTAACAAAAACACAAACAAAAACGTTGCATAGCTATTTGCTACTTTATCCATACATTGTGAAACAGACCCTAAGTCTTACTTATTTTATTTCGTTCCAAAAACAGCAAACTTTTGGTATGCTTGAACACAATATATTGCATTGAACGAAACGCGGTCGAGAGGGAAGGATCACGCAAATGATTGCTGTCAATCTTTTGTCAAATAAACAATTGGATAGCAGAAATGTTTATTGGCATGCAGATTGGAGATCGGTCTTTAGATATGAATCAGTCCAAGATTGGTTATAATCATAGATTGAGGATACATTATTAATTTTGGCCGAAGTCAATTAATATTGACAGATATTGATGGATCACAAGAAATCTAGATTTTATGTCAATATGCAGAATTTTTAATTCTGCTGCGTTTACACATCAATAAATATTGACGAGATCTCAAGGATATAGGATCTCCCCTGCCTAATATATATTACGAAATAAAGTACCAGGTTAAGCGTCGAGAATTAAAAAACCCTCCCAGAATTTTTCAATAATATTTTTAATAAACCAATGTTTCATTATAAAAATCTAACAGAAGTCGGTGTAAACAATCGGTTTTAGCATTATAAGAATATATAATCTTTAATTATTTTCGCGAATGTTAATTGGAAGAATAATATTATTTTACAATTAACAGTGATTTAAGAAGAATTTATATTTATTCCAATATATTTATTTATGCGAATCCAGAAATACCTAAAAGTTAAATTTTGTTCTTTGAAAGTATTGGTAATGAGCAGTAATAAAAAATATAATAAATCCATAAATGATTATATTATACATATAAAATTAAATGAATTAATTCCACTTTTATTACATGTTAATATAATTAACACAATCTTACGTACAAGATTACAAAAAAATATTCTTTTTTATAATCAACTTGTAGATGTTCTTTCTACAAAAATTTAAACGACAAAGTAATTTTTTTTACATTAGCACAGTCTATAGATACATTCAAATTATATTTGATCAAAAAACCGATGTTGTAGATATAAATTTGTAATCACAGCCATAGATAAGCTATTAATTAGTTATTTTTCTGTTTCTAAATTAATTGGAAAAATTACTATGTTATTACAGATGGAATTAATATGATTACATTATGGTATAACAGTGAGACGAAATTTTATGAATACTAATGTAATAATAATCATTACATTGCTTTAAGGCTTTTTGAAGAAATATCAAAAAGGTTAGTCGACATCACAGGAGACCTAAGATCTGGCAGCTACATCGGACAAAGAATTAGTCTAGCGATTCAAAGGGGGAACGCTGCCAGTATCTTCGGAACCTTGCCTAAAGGGACTCCTTTTAATAATATATTTTAGTTTATGTTAAGGTTAGTTATTTATGAGATTATATTGTTATATATCATATAATATTATTGATATATTTTCTACTAATTCATCATTCATTGTCAGTAGTTTAAATTAATAATTGTTTTTGTTATTTAATAATAAACCATTTACTAAAAATAAATTACATTATAATTAGTCTTTATATACAAAACATATTTATTCAATCAAAAAATATTTTAATTAAACTTAAATTAAGCACACATACCTAAAAATAACTTAAAATAATGAATAAGTGTATCTACGTACAAAAATTTAAAAAACTTTCGAATACTGCGATGCGACTAAATGTTTTTAAAACTTTTAGATATTGATAATTTATACAATTTTACAATACTGGGACGGTATAAAATTTTCTTAAATTTAAATGTAGCTATTTAAGTGTAATAACATTAAAATGAGATTTAACCAGTCTCAATACTGTAATCATTTTTATATAAAAAATTAAAACATCGAGAAAATAAGATTACAATACTTATGGATATGCTTTACAATATGTATCGTTTACTTACGTATGGATATAATATAATCACCAAAATACTTATTACTATGACTGACTACCACCTTCAATGAATTGCAATAAATATAAAAATTATTAGTCCATTACACAACAGTCGTTTGGTTCGAAAAACGGACTGTTACTAGAGGATGAGAATGTCAAAACAGACGAAACTATAGTGCGCTTTATTTCATTGTGATAACTTAATAACATCTGTTTGTGTGTTAGTAGTTTAAATATGAGTTTGGCTTTTACTGTAAATAAATATAAGTCATTCGTTTGAATAATCACGATCAAACGTGATTGGTTTGTCTTTTGTTTTACATTCTCAAACCATTTTCCGGGAGTATTGAAAATTAGCAATTTTATAGTTTTCGACATTCGATTACTTCCTAATTTAAATTTTCGAATGCATACTTTTACTATGATATTTATATTCTTAGTTTATAAAAAGGTGTACCAAAACTTCCAGATCATGATTAGGGTCAAACAAAAGAACATTTCCATTTCAAACGGTATTTTCCAAAAATATTGTCTGAATTATCACTGTAACCAATTGATTAATTCTAGAACTATACAACACAATTCAAAACAAAAGGCATCTACGGTTTTGTATTTTCACAAACAGTACACAAATGTCCAGTAGATAATATTAAAGAATATGAAGAGTAAAGGGAATAACACTCTCGAGCGTTTATCGATCCAAGTTGCGATTTCTTGTGGAGTCATTTGAGTCCATGTGTGATGTTTTGGGGGTTCATCTGATCCCTCACTGGAGTTATGACGTCCGCCAGACCTTTGGACGAGCTCGTCGTAGCTTTGCGTAGTTATCGTTGGTAAGTTCAGAGCAGATGGGAAGCTCTGAAATTGAGAAATATTTGCGTAAACAAAAAAAAATTCATAAATTCGAATATATTTACTAAGGACTCTTATATGACCCCTTGAATACCATTTCTGCGTCTGTTTAATAGATAAGGTAAGGTATCTAGATCTTTGTTGAAGTTATACTTATTTAGGCGCGTTATGAAAAATTGATGAGAGTGAAATTTTACGATGCGCGCGCACCGTGACACAAAATTAACAGAATGAAGTTGCCCACGGAAGATGCTACGGCATTGGACATAATTTAAAAACAACATTCGAAAAATAATAGAATTTATGTTACACTTAATGTAAGAGAATAATAATAAATAATTAATTCTTTAATTTTTCAAATATAAACTGAACTTTATTGACTATAATGACTCCTTTTCCAGTCTTTGATTATTTAATTGTAATTAATTATTTGCATGCAATCAAATACTATTTTTAATAATGCCAAAGAAGTATAACTTCTTACGCGCGTACATAAGTACACGCACCCTTTTTTATATAGAAATCTAACCAATGGTTTATGCACATCCACATAGAACACAATGAAGAAGAACAGACGATATTTAAGAATTATAATGTTTTATCCATCTCCGTTACATCTTAGGTACATGACTTATAATCCGTAATTACATCATTTATGACGTGCATAAATTGTACTTACATGAACAGTAAGATAATTGTTATATCCTGGTCCTGCGGGGTCAGAACTGGTCTCCTGGTTAAGAGAAGAACAGGATCGGGACTTGCTGAGCTGAGGGGAACACTGTAGCTCTTTCTGAAGCTCTTTACGCGCCAGGCGAGGGGTCAATGTACTTTTCAGTATATATTTACTGTTCACTTTCTTCAAATTCACCACTTTTCTGGAATTATAATAGTTACAATTATACTACATGATACGAATGTTGTGGCCTGGTAGTTAAATTGATCGATTCATGATATTTAAGGAATAGTTGTATACAGCGTGTTTATTTTAACAGTTAAATGATAGTACACGTTATTACCAGCTTCCTCTTTTTCTTTTAATGATCGTAAACATTTTGTAAAAACATAAATCTTTGTTTCTAGCCTGATATAATTATGTAACCCAACATTAGTTAAGTAATATATATATATTAGTTAGAAATTAGAAGCTTAGAAACACTTGAATAAATTACCATACTTATAGTTTTTACCACACTTATAAATTCTATTTAAACATTCTCGTTAAGTCATAAGTTTCAGTTTAGATTTATGAACTCTTAGATAAGCCAAGTTTGTATTTGTTAGCGTCGCAACCCCCTATTTTTGTGTTAGTTATAAGTTCATATTTTAAACCATTAAAGTCAGTTGTTACCCTTAGCTTCAAACAAAGAGTTTTATTTAAACATCTCAAAAAATTCAAAAATTAGTAAAACCGCCACCAAAGTTACTTCGTGAGACAATCTCAATGTCTACTGGTAAGAAACAAACGAAACGAAATCGGCAAAGACAAAACGAATCATTCTTCTTTTATAGTATTTATGAAAACTTACTTTCTGCGCCAGATAGTGTTGACAAAAGCGAATTCCACAAGGGCCGAGAAAATGAAGCCAATACATCCTAAGAACCAGATTTCACTTGCTTTGATGTAGGAGACTTTTGGAAGAGTTTTTGCTTGTGATGATGCGAGAGTGATAAACGACAACATGGTACTTGTGCCTGAAATTTAAATTAGATTTCTTAACTGGAAAATCCACTCACTCTATCGTGAATATTCTGTTCTGTCTATTAATCCATAATATTAAAAGTTAACATTGTAAATTATAAATTATGTAATTAAATTAATTAATAATTTTGATTCAAAGAAGCTGCCAGTATCTTTGGCACCTTGCCTATAGGTATTCCCTTTAATAATATATTTTAGTTATTATATTTTAAGGTTATTTATGTTTTAGATTTAAATTAGTTAATATGTATATATAGCTATTATATTTCTTCTCTTAAATTATAATGTAATTGCTACTAATGTTTGTTCTAGAAGTAGGTGGAAAAGGGCTTATAATATTAATTCGGTGAAGACATAAAGTAACATACGTTCAGTTACAGATCATATGAGTATATCATCATCATATCTTACCCAATGTTATCCTAGGTGCTGAAGCATCAGCTTGCAACCAGAAGGTGACCCATGACATGGCAACAATCATCATTGAAGGGATAAAGTAATCCATCAAATAGTAACCTACTTCTCGGCCCAATTTAAATGTAAACTTCAAAGCGCTGTAATTTCCCGCTGAAATTAATCTCCAATTAATCATTTTGATTCATTCAAAATAACAAACTAGGGACACCACAAACATATAAAATCGACATTACATCTACCTCCACCCAGTCTCATGTTGACGATATCTCCTCGAACAACCGACTCATTTGTCCAATAGTCGAGCAGAGAGTATTCTGTTAAATGCAGCTCTGAAGATAGTCGAACGGAATTATCTTTCTCCCACATCAAGCGTAAAATTGACGCGTTGTATTTCCCTGAAATATTTGTTACAGGTAACGTTATTAACTGAAAAAGTTGTGTGAGAAGAAACAAGAATTTCTAGAAGGTTTATATACTTATTACAAATTTTAAGCCAGAAGTAACCAAAACCATTTTTAGTACTACGTTTTCTATTAAGATTTTTTTTGACTTCAAGAAGACAGCGAACACCAACTGGGCCTTATGTGATATGCTTTCTCCTCCTTTGGCTAGCCCAAACAATCAATATCTAGTTTATAGTGGAATAGTAGTGATACTTACAGCTTTCCAAATTCATCGAACATTTTTGAACATCGAATGGGAATTTTTGCAAATTCATCCAACAGTATAGGACAGCTTGCATTCGACGACTGAAGAGCACTTCACCATCTGGTGCTATTGAGATGAGCACGTCTTTAGTATCAGTTCCCATCAAACTGGACGATTGTTCGTTAGACATGTACAAGTGCGGAATCCAAACACGGGATCTGAGATCACTTTCTCCAATTATTTTCGTTCGTTCTGGAGAATAGAGAGAGTACGCCAACCGTCGATCAGTCCAACGAAGTTGCAGAAGGAAGTGCAATTTGAAATTCTGCAATGTGATTAAATAATACATATTATATTGTATATTAAATTTTACTTTAATATTATAAGGGGAAAGATTTTTATGTAAGTATGTAACGAATTGGCTTAAAAAGTACTGGACCGATTTTAAAAATTCTTCACCATTTGAATGCTACATTATCACTGATTAATATAAGCTATTTTAATTGCAAGAAATAAATAAGGATCCCTACTAAAAGTACAATAATGTTACCCAAGGTGTAAAAAAATGCCTATAAAATATCTTTCATCGCATGCGCTGCGAAAACTATTGATGTTAGAACAAAAAAATAAATGTCCACTCGTGTGAAGCCGGGATGGGCCGCTAGTATTATATAAAATAGATAAAATCCCGGACGTACTAGAAAGAGACAAGTTTAAAGTACCCATAACAGACGAGCATGCGTGGTGAATGTCATGAAAGTGGATGAAGCGATAGAGGGTATATCAGGACCGTAGCAAGTGAAGATCTGTGGTCTCTGTGTAGCCCTTCGGGGTACGTGATGATATAAATAAATAATAAAATGGCTTTATCGAATAATAACGCTAATTTACTCGTTTTCAGCAGTCGTGGTCGGTGAGAGATCGTTTTATGTTTGTTAATAATCTACCGAAGCAGAGCGGTGTTGGCCTAGTGGCTTCAGCGTGCGACTCTCATTCCTGAGGTCGTAGGTTCAATCCCCGGCTGTGCACCAATGAATTTTCTTTCTATGTGTGCATTTAACATTTGCTCGAACGGTGAAGGAAAACATCGTGAGGAAACCTACATGTCTTAGACCCAAAAAGTCGACGACGTGTGTCAGGCACTGGAGGCTGATCACCTACTTGCCTATTAGGTTTCAAAATGATTATGAAACAGATTCAGAAATCTGAGGCCAAGACCTAAAGAGGTTGTAGCGCCACTGTTTTTTTTAAATAATCTACCGAAAGCCTCAAGAGTAAGCCAAGAGCCTCAGTCAACATGCAACAGAGAGGTTACCTTAGTGTACTAGTTCACATTGTTTCACAAACAACATATCCCATCAGTACAAACTTTTTAATCTTAAATCTTAATGAATAATTTTACATTAATAAAAGACCCTTACAAAAACATATTCTTTTAAACATATTTAACTTACCAAATCGTGTGCTTCAGCCGGTTGTATGAAATAAACGTAGGCGCTGGCGTGGACAAACACAACTTCTCCAGTCTGGTATGTAGGTAGGAGAAGCCTGTCGTACCGGCACTCGTGTGCCAGACGCGAAAGGAACTCAGATTGCGTGTATGTATCCCCTTTTTCTAATGATGGACATTCTGGAAGCGGCTCTTTCCTGTAATGATAGCAGACAGTGTTTTAGAAAGCAATTTTGAAGCTTGAACAAGCACTGACGCTTTGAAATACAAATCCAAGGAATAGATAATTTAGATGGAAGGGTAATTTAGGGACTGCAAAAGCAAGGTATGATTGAACATAGATCTTGCAAGCTGGTGGAAGTCAACATGGCCCCAAAGATTCTAGTACAAAATTAAATCCTTTGGCCTTCTGCCTGTTGATTTCTACTCCGTAATAAATTTATCATTTAATCATGCTTCATACGTACAGTTTGTATTAATTCGAACAGACAAAAAATATATCACCTGATTGAAAACATAAGAAATAGTGTTTTCTTATAAACTAGTACGGTAGGAACTTTCCGAGACAATGGTAACTAAAAAATACACTGTAAAAGTGTAAAAAGTGTGTTTAAATATTGTGTTACTGAGTATACGTTTGATTGTAAAAACCGCTGTTAGGGAATGTAACTAATTTCCATATTTTCTAAGCTTTGTACGTTATCGTACAAAAAATATAAAATGTCTTCTAAAGTTTCTCAGATCATGATAATGATTCTCAACAATTAAACATTATTTTCAGTGCCGGATTATCTTTACAGATTATTATCAGGGATTACTATCTTAACCAACGTCAGTATGACGTAAATCTCCGTTAAAAATTAATTAGACTCGCCAAAGCCGAGAAAAAATTGTCGCTATCACGTTGAGAGCAAAATGCTGGTTATTTGCCCAAGATACACAGAAGAAGAGAATTTAAACAGATAATACTTCTGTAAATTTATTAGCTTATGTAAATTTTCACGTCACTATACAGGTCTATTCTTAAAGTGCAGGAATATTAAAAACAGCTAAGAAGCTTGACATTTTATAAATCAAGACATAATTGTTACTTTAGAGTAGATGATAAAATGCCAACATGACTGCGGCGCATGATTTTTAATCTATAGTGTGTTCTATTCATGATTACTATTATTATATTTCAGATTTTTTGCTGTAAATAAATAATTCGATCATTGTTTCAAGTTGGCAAGGTGGTAGAAGGTGTTTCAGTGTGCCCTACTGCACACTGAAACACAGAGTTTTATTTCAGAGTTAAAGGATTTTCCTGTATCACCAACTAATTTATAAATATTACTTACTAACAACCTTTACTAAGGCCATAAAATAAAAACTATCTACTAAACTAACTACTATATACTAAACATAATATTAAAAAAAATACAAATATCTATATTAATACAAACTAATATTATATACAAATTCTATATTACTTTACAAACTTGAAATTGCTATTCGTTATACTAACAATAACATAAATATCTCTTTTGATATACCTCGAATTATTATTACGTATTATCTAGGCTAATATATAGCATCATATGATCTAGATTAGTCTTGCATGAATCTTTAGAATACGACGCTCTTATTGAAGAGGGTTTTCATAGTTCATGAATAATGTATGACATGACTTATTTGTTTTAAGTTTTCACGTGACTAAATAAGTAATATTATGTTTAAACGCGTCCTAGATATAGGTAATTATGTTTCATCACGTAATCGGCCATTTTGTATTGGGTGTTAAATTCAATTTCCTTATCATTCTTTGTTTTAATGAATTCTTATTATGCTTTTAATAAATACGATTTGTAAATAACATACAAGTGATTGATTGATGATATTTTTTACAATATTTCGGGAGATGTGAGATGGGTCGAGTAGCAACACAAAATCAATGCGAATGGGCAATCAAAAATCAAAATGATTTATTTTATACCATATAGAAACTGAAATTATTTACAACATGTAATTATAGTTATAGTCCATTCTGGCATTTTTTTTTAAATAAATATTAGTCAAAATGCGCGTAAACGCGTTTTAATATGGCGCTTTTGTACCTAATTGGCAATAAAATTCATCCCAATGCTTGTAGGTAAATATGGTAGCATTTTGTTAAGAAATCATGTGCCAGCATTAAAATACCTAATGCAGTACTGGAACGAGTAGGTATAATGTAAATTATATGCAGCCGAGAAGGTCATTGAAGATCATTACTAATATTTGCCTGATAACATTATGAACCAATTCCTGCAGTAAGATTTACCTAAAGATTAATTGCTAATCTTCACGGAGTATGTAGACGCAAATAAGTAATTTGCCGCTTATCGGTTTCTTATCAAAACTCATATTTGAGGCTTTATATTGCTTTGAAAGCCGCAAATGTTGTTCTAATGGTGCCAGTTCCGTTTAACTATTCTAATTAACATATAGGTCGTTACACTAGTGTAGGGAATTTAAGGCCGCATTTTAATTATCAAACTGTTATAAGTAATATCGACATAACTTTGCAAACTTTACGTATCGAAAAACTCCTTTACACAGTTTTAGAGTAACATTCAAGTTGAGGTGAGATTCAGAAACGAGACTTAGCGCGAACTCTGGCTTCCGTGTGTCTGAATTCAATACGTTTTTGACAATGGTCACACTTAACTTTTCGTTTCTGAATTTTTACTCTAAATATTAACAACCTATCCTAAACCTAACTAACGCACAACGGACCGAGTACGAGTCTAAGTGCGGAAACTGAGTTCACAAACCATACTAGACCATGTGCACAACTAACGATTTTGACAAAATTTCCCGAAACAAAAGCTATTAAAATCAATTATTACCGCACGTCAAATATAATAAATGAAATGCTGCATTTGGATTATGATTTATTTATTAGAACTCTTTCTTTTTTCGAATTCTCTGAAAACAGTTAAGTATATGGGTTTACATAATATTTAATGTACTACGTTAGATGTGTTTATTATGAACTCAATTGAATTTTCCGAGAATTGAGAATATTCAAGCTTAAAAAAAATCTTAGTTCTTAAAAGATGAATTGCCTTGATCAAAAAGTCACGCTAGTTCTACTGATAACCACCATTGTAGGTCCATTCTGTTTATTATAAGTGCGCATACGCATTACAATCCGCACTGCGTTCCTGAACGGAAGAACAAACACACTAACATCTGCAATAATATAATTTTTGGAATATCCTATACATATATAATTTAGATTAGAATGTTCGTGTGATTCATAAGAAAATTCTTAACATCCGTTTAAAGATAACAAAGATAATATGTTTTCTTAAAATTATCAAGATTATAACACTCATACTCATTTTAATACAAATATATATATATATATATATAAATGTTATTTTTGTTGTGAATATTTCGTTGTAAAAATTGAACATGTTTTCCGGAAAAGAGGAAACTAAGGGAGGGAAAGCGAATACATAGTCCATTAATAAATAATCATTGGCTTTGTCTATGTCAATCACCAATCTCTTAGTAGACTCGATTAAATAAATAAATCAATGGCGCTACAACCTTTTTAGGTCTGACGCACGCCGTTGACTTTTTGGGTCTAAGGCAAGCCGGTTTCCTCACGATGTTTTCCTTCACCGTTCGAGCGATTCTTCAATGCGCACATAGAAAGAAAGTCTATTGGTGCACAGCCGGGAATCTAACCTACCAGCTCAGGGATGAGAGTCGCACGCAGAAGCCACAAGGCCAACACTGCGAGTAGACTAGATTATGTGAGTGTAATCTGTCAACAAGTACTACACTTCTTTACGAGGGAATCCGGTTGCTAACCGTGCCGGTCTAAGACGGTTCCGCATTCAGATTTCAGATTTATAGAGTTATTCTTTACAAAATAAAGATTAGTTGAACAATGATTACATTAAACTAGTATAATGTACAAGAAATAGATTTATAGGTGAAAATTAAATAAAAAATAAAAAAAATCGCTTGTGTGTGACGACGTGGAACGCTTCCACAGAACATTGAATTTAGCCAACACTTCGTCATGATCGTAGAACAATGTCGGATTTGAAAAACATCTAAAATCCACTTTTTATTATAGTTTGACACTACATTGACTAAATATTACACCTACATCAAAAAAAATCCAGGTGTTTTAAATTTCAAACTAATCCTTTACCGTGACCACGCACGCTGTAAAGCACGCGAAACGTCGGATAAATTTAAAATTATGTTAAATAGTTGTAAATTTATAATAATACATAACTTCAATCCGGTCAAAATAGTGTTTTATTAATCCTTTACTAGATATTTGTAAGATCCGTCGACGAATTTTAGTCCAAATAAGGTAAGAGCTGAATATGAATTACCCGCGCGCATTAAACAACATTAATTTACAGTAGTTACTGGTAATTCTTGAAAGCAGCTTCTCAAAATAGTCACTACTAAGCCTTATTTACGTTATAATTTAAATAAATTAACACGTAGGTGATATTTTTGTATTGATAAGAATTTATTGGCTTTAGGTAGCTTAGCATCGCTACTAAATAAATTTCTATATTTATTTAGTGAATCACAATTATATAATTACAATAATTCGTATGTATCGTTATGCGAAAACAAAAAATTACACATCGATGATAAACTCCTGCTTCAATTTTTGTAAGGTCGGTTAAAACGGTCTTCTTTCATACTCGTATAGTTTTAGCTCTTTCTACAAGGGAATGTTGAAGAATAGAAAAACTTAAAAAAAAGTTTAAAAATCTCTCTTTTTTGTAACTCATTACTGCATTATGTACTCAAGTTTTCATTTACAAAGATTGTAACGACTAATAGATCAATTTTGGCTACCGGGAGAAAATTGGAAACTGCGTAAGCAGTTTTGCGGGGTATGGTTTAAATGAAAATATATTACATACATAAACATAAAAAATTCAACCTAAAACCTAAAACTCGGGAGTGAGCGTTATTGCAGTCAACGTTACTTTATACTAACGTTTTCCTCACTCCGGAGTTTGTTGAATATATTATGTCGCAATATATCGTCATAAAATATTGCGCCTAGTCGATAAGAAAAGCAATTAACTATGTATCAACAAACATACATTGCCGTTTCAAAGATTCCGCACTATTTGCAAAGCAAGCATTCTAATTTATTACCTACCTCACTATTATTACTCTATTTGCGTAGAAACATGATGCATAAGCTAATATTATGATTTTCTTACACAAAATTACTGGAAAACGAACCTTTTAATGCACATGGCGAAGTACTAGATTCGATTTCCCGTGAATAGAGAACGTCGTTTGAGAAATTGGGAGGCATGTCCAACTGAAGGTTTCGCAAACTAAGCAAATTAATCAAATCAAATCAAAATCATTTATTTATAAAGAACAATACAATATACACTTATGAACGTCAATAAAGAAATAAATACTAAATGCTTTATCTAAATACGCACGCACGCACTTACACTCTCGTCGGAACCATACGCAAATAAATGCATAGTCGAAGTAACTAACATCACCGCATACACGAATTTAAGTCCGACCAGTCACCACAAGTAACATCCGTTCACGAGTATGACGCATGGCCAGCCATCGGCCTTATAAATATACCTGGTCATCTTGTAAACCGTTGCTTTACTCCTGCAGGCAACAAAACAGCGATTGGAGGAGCATAAATTCTCATGATGCCATTGGAGTTTTTTGCGACTTATCAAAGGCTTTTGACTGTGTCCATCACGAAATCCTAATCAAGAAACTTCAACGGTCCGAAGCAAATTTAAGGAATTACATATTTTGACTCTGGCAAGTCAATACATTTATGAGAATATTTTGTATGTGCGGAAAAATATAGATATCTTTAAAAAGAATAGTAGCTTCCATAATTATAGTACTCGTAATAAAGACAAAATTAGCCCACCAACCAGAAGGCTGCATAAAACGAGTAATTCTTTCCAAGGCAATTGTATACGTTTTTTCAACAAAATCCCTAGTGAGATACAAGCGTTGTCAATAAATAAATTTAAATCGTACATTAAAGTAAAACTGCTGGCTAAGGCTTATTATAATATAAATTAATATTTAAACGATCCTAGTGCTTGGATATGAGTTGCTCCAGTATATATTATAGGTAACACGACT